ATCTCACTAAGATTAGAAGGCCATCTAAATACTGATCTCCTACTGTTTTTTTTCTGATACAATGAATTTGGACATACTATCAAAGAGCTTCGAATGACCAAGAGGCTACACTCTAGTTTAATTTGGGAAACAACCACTAGAGGCGGCCATTTTGGAATGAAAACTTCATAGATATATACATTAGATGTCGCCTTCCTTGTTGTTGTCTATTGGAAGGAATGCGTCAATAGAGCCGCCATGTTGGAACTGGGTAGCGCTCCTTTGAAATGAATGCGGGATCAAGGTACAGTGGAGGACTGTGGCCATCCAAAGCCAGAGATATACACATATACACATATATCTGTGATCGGGAGTTTTCCTGGATGTTAGTATGCAATTTTTTTTTTATATATTACGAAAATTATAATTTATATTACTTTTCTACATTGATGGATTAGTGATCGCAAGGGCATTCCTGACAAAAGCTTGTGTTTGTGTGTACAGAAATGTACTATCCACCCTTCCTGTTAAATTTGATCTTATCCGTGTCCTGAAACATTCCTCCTCTCCTGCTTTCACTTCTCTTACTGACGGAGGGAGCGATTCGTTTGTGAATGAATCTCCGTTATGAACGACTCGTTCACTAGCCGACAATAATACAAGTTTCTGGCACCGCAGCATCTCGTTGTCATTTCTTTTGCATTGTTTGCTGATTTTATTCAACAAAACTAGCATAAGCCGAGTGTTTAGTGCGAGTTGGAGCTACTTTGCATTATGCTGAATGCAGTACGTGACTGTATTATCATCACATTACCTGTTTAGCACAAAAGTTCAGAACATACAAAAACGTAAAAAACTGACTCTTACCTATAAAATGTTCTGCCGTTGTGCTTTGTTTTCTTTGTTTGCTCGTTACTACACCCGTAGACAGCGCTAAAGTCCCGCATCTTCACGTAATAACACTGTCTTGTCTAGTGCGGTTGAATGACATTTGTCCTGGGAGCACTGTACCAATGTGGCGGCGCTATTCACATGCTCAGGGTCCCTATGCGATATCTAGTGTATATATCTATGTGAAAACTCCAATAGAACAGCAGCATATTATAAGTCTGTAAAATAAACTATTAAAAGTGCTGATGATTGTGATAGTAAGTGTTGTATTATCGTCTTTCAGGTTGTTTCTCAGCTTTAATGCGCTTTTTAAAAAAATAAATAAAAAACAAAGCAGCTGCTTGCCATCGCGACAGTAATGAGATCCAACAGACGACCGATCACTTTCAAATGGTGGAATCCAGGGCTGTTGCTGGGCGCTGCTGTTGCAATGGAACGTTCCATTGAGTGTTGTCTCTTGGTCATTCTAAGCTCTTTGATACTACTCACATACTGTCATACTATATAGTAGGCAAGTATGCAATGTCAGACACACCCACAAACATTTAGTCAACAGCTCAAGTTCAGAACTAACTTGTGTCTATAATTGTTTTAGATGGAGCTCAAGAAGACCCTGCTGGACCGCATGGTTCACCTGTTGAGTCGAGGTTATGTTCTTCCTGTCGTCGGCTACATCCGCAAATGTCTTGAAAAGCTCAACACTGATATTTCACTCATCAGATATTTTGTTACGGAGGTGAGGCTTTGAGAATATTCAGCGTTGACTCTTTTGATTGGTGCAGTTTCATTATTGAGTGATTGATTCTCTTGCGGTCTGTGCTTGGTACTATGAAGTCCTCATTTCTTTTGTTTATTCTGGACAGGTTCTGGACGTGATAGCGCCTCCATATACCTCAGACTTTGTCCAGCTGTTTTTGCCGATCCTAGAAAACGACAGCATAGCAGGAACAATCCGCACAGAAGGAGAAAACGATCCTGTGGCCGAGTTCATCGGTGAGTATTTCAAATGAAACGTTCATGATTTAATCAACCGTTAAGCTGGTGAACTTTGATCACGACTTCTAGAGGACTCTGGGAGACAAATGGAGCTCATAAATGCACATTAACTGCTGTAATGTAGGGCTGCACAATATTTCATTTCAGCATCGATAATGCAATGTGGAAATCTGCTATAGTCACATCGCAGGATCTGTTTTCTGATTATAGTTATTCAGACATCAGTTGATCTTCCACAGTTAAATGAATTTGATCAACAACATTTTCACGCTAAAAAGCTCGTTTTTATGTGGGAATGTAACTGATTTGCTGCAACGGCCCCTTTAAACAAGAGATCAGTGTATCAAATTTTGACGCTTTCGCCGGCGGAGCATTGAAGGCAGCATTGTCGCCAAGGCGGCCAGACTGAACTTTGATGTCTTCAACGAAAACTTAGGAAATTTGGGTATAATAAATTAAACATTTGTAGCTTATAGATTGATTGTACAGTATCATTTCACACTATTAAATGATACAGTGTTATTTTACATTTCATTTGTTTCTAAATCCTGCTCAAATCCCCAAAAAAATATAAATCATTGTTTATTTCATTTATAGATCTTTGCTCTGTTGTATTTATACTTTATGCTTGTCATTTTATTCAGATACGCTCCCATACAAAAATCAGCCCAATCAATCTAAAATGATGAATTCATGTCATCCGGTGAAATTGTATTCATATCGCTATATATATATAAGTGGGCATAGATAAATGTTTTAATTTAGATTAATCTCACTGTAATCTTGCAATTAATCTAGATTAAAATGGCTCATTTGAATTCTGCCAAAGTCATTTCAGAATATGTGTGCTACTCACAAATAATGACGAAAGTCTTTGAGAACGGGTTTCTCAAGCCAGGTGGCGCATTAGACTAGGAGCTCATCTCCTGTTTTTAAACTGCATCACAAACTGCTTGAGAAACTGTTTTACTATGATAATTGGTGATGAAAATAAATGATGTTCAATAAGATGTACTTGTGTTTACTAACTGTTTATTCAGTTAAACATGAGTTTTGAACTGTAGCCCTACATAAGCTCCAGAAAGCGAATTTTGATTACTTTAATCTGACTAAAGTTATAACTGAACTAAACAGAAATGGAGTTAAGACGTGAAGTATGCAGATATTAGTGGCATTATTGAAGTAAACACCGTGATCAAACTATTACCGTCATGTAGGACTTTTCGCCATATTTTCCGACAAGATCCACACACACGGCTGTCAGACACAGATACACACACATCATGAAATGCGGAAATTGTTTTTTCCATTTGCCGTACGTTATTAAATTTCATAACACTCTCACCAGTCCTTGCGTCTAATACCCAAGTTTGTCACGGGGCATGAATGAAATGTTCATGAGTAAATGTGAAACTGCCAAACTGCAGTTAAAGTCAAAATTACAGGAAACTCTTACATGAAAACACTTTAGTAAACACCCTAATTATATTCTTGTCTATCAAGGCAAATAACTAGACTACAGATGATGTAAACGTAGTCAGTAGTGTCCTTGAAGTAAGTGAAAGATCCAGAAGGGCACTTGTTTGACAGACGGCTCGCCGGTCAGGTATATATCTGCGCTAAAATATCAAGGTGTAAGTCATTATAGCTTGCTTAGAAAAGACCCAGCTCCCAAACCAACTTTGAGAATAGATTAACGGCAATACTTTTTTTTTTTTTTTTATCGCGCGATAAGAGTCCCACGTTAACGGCCCACCACTAATATATGATCACAGTACAAGAAAGCAATGCAATGTCTGTTTTTTCCAATATCATGTAGCCCTATTGTAGTGTTTGGTTATTAATCTCCAATTTTGTATTGTAGCTCACTGCAAATCCAACTTCATCATGATGAACTAATACATTCAGAAGAGTTGAGTGCTTCTCCATGGATGGACAGACGGATGATTTCAGTGTACAGAGCTTTTGTGTTGAACTTCAGAAAGAAAATATTGACAAATGCTGAACTTTGAACATTTGTTTTGAGGTCAAAAGTCATGGAGGCTTTATTTTGCTTTAAATGGCTTGTGATTTTGATTTTTGTACATTGAAATTTTTATTAAACATGTTTGTATTAACCTTATAAGAGTCATTATTTTCCAATCCAACCCCATCTGAGAAGATATATGTTCATTTTGCTATATATTTTATAGATATGTTGCTGATAGTAGCAGGTATTTGTCTTAAGTAAATGCAGTAGTTCATTTAATGAATGAAACTTTGAGCGGCAGCTTCACTTTTTAATGATTTTTCAGAACATTTAACTGAAAATAATAATAGCCGCCAATGAAGATTACATTTTTATATCCTCATCTGCTGTATTTGACTGTCAGTAGCTATGTTTCCATCCAGATAGGCAAATTAAATTTAAATTTATGCGCAAAACTGGAACATCACATAAAAGAAGTGCAAAGCAGCGTTTTCATCCAGTGAGTCTAAGCGGACAATGAGCTGGCACCAAATATCAACAGTAAAATTAGAATTTACTGTGGTAAGAAAAGCTGCGTGAATAGTTTCTTCATTTAATAAATGACTTGCGCTTCAGAAGACAAATGCTGACATGCAATGAACGCGTGCTGGCGTTTAAAGGCGTGAGACGCCGAGCACAGTTGCTCTTGACAGTTCTGGAGGTCATTAATAAATGTAAAAACTCTGAAACATAACTGAAATATAACTGAAAAGGTTCAAGCGTTTTCAGAATGACCAAAACAACATTTCAGATGTTTTACAATGTGCTCATCCTGCGGGTTTGTCCATTCACATACATTTTTTTCATCACTTGATCTGATAAAATCATCACAGACTTTTTTTTTATGTGCATGCTGGAATTTGTTCAGTAAAAGTGTTTCCTTTGTAGTTTATACACATCAAATAAAACGTTCATCATACTCAGGTTTGTGCATATGTTTTTTATGCCCATTTTCAAAACTTACATCTTAGTGTTTCCATATCCAAAATGAGCATAAAAATATGTGGATGGAAACATAACTAATGACTGCGAAAAAAAAAAAAAAGTGTTGGTAATTATGTTTTTCTACTAAACCACTTCTTAAAAAACAATTGTACTCCAATAGCAATAAAATAAAAGGAATAAGTAGTTGGGTAAGACTTTTACTGAAGTGTGACAAAACAGTTCAGTGATTGAGGCTGTTGATATGGTTTGACAGCAATCATTTATGGGTATTTTGCTTTAATGTTCAAGGAAATGGTGTACTTCTGCTTTAAATACACAATAGCAAACCCCAAAACTATGACCAGAGATCAGTCCATTAAAACATCCTAAAGTGCTAGATGTCCTACTGGTATATAAAAAAAAGAAACGGGCACTGCTTTTCCCTTTGTTCATGAATTGGTGTTAAAAAAAAATTACAAATACAAATCTGTACAATTTCAAAGAAAACATTCCTGAGGTGTCGATTAAAAAATAAAGCAAAACCTCCACAACTGATCTCAGGCAGATTCAGAAAATCACTCCTAACCTTTGATATAAATTTGGTAAGTGCAGGTTCATCTTAAGACAGCGTTTACTCTGTGAACGGCACATCACAGACGACTACAGGTAGTTCTTGGGAAGGATTGGATCTCCGTACATGCAGTCCTCTTCGATGGCGAGGTTGTATTGGCTTCCACTGCCGCCCTTGTATGCGCTGGTGACTATTCTGAGCCAGCCTTTCTCACCCTGGACAACCAAAGAGCAGAACATGCAGTCAAAATACTGTATGCACATATTCTCCTACTGCGCAAAAAGGGGATTTTTATTTATATATTTGTATTTCTTGGCCCCAATCACCTTCCATATATACACCTATAGTGAGTAGGGGTGGGTGGATCGATCCTCAAGTATCGATAATTTCGATTCTGGCAATGTCAAAAGAATCAATCCTTAAATAGAAATAAAAACATAGAAAAGATTGATTCTTCTTAGTAAGTGATCACTGATTCTAGAATATCTTAATAATAGTAATAATGATAGGTCCTTATAGTATATATAATATATATATATATATATATATATATATATATTTACTGGAACAGGAACTATAATATTCTTCCGCTGCATCTCCGCTAATGGGTCAGTGTTTGCTCACAGTATGCAGCACACACACCCAGCACAGGTTTTAAATCAAGCGCAGGGCTATGGTCATCATGACAATGAAAAAGCAGCATAATCTGTTGTTATTTTACTCCAGTTTGTGCAATGTGTTATTTTTTGTTATATATGGTGTTATATAGCCAATTTTTATTTAATAATGTTCTGTAATTGTAGTAAATGTAAAAAGTAAATATGCTGTTGTATTATGTAATAATAATACTGAAGGTGATTTAAAAAAACATAAAAATATTTAATTTAAGTATCGGTATCGATATCAACAATACTTGTTGGAAATACTTGATATCGGAAAGAAATTAATTGGTATCACGCATCCTTAAGGCAGAGCAATAAAATCCCTCCCTCCAGGATTTCGCTGCTCATTCTTATGATATTTACAACCTAAAATAACAGATTTCACAAATTGTGGGGGGTTTTCAGACACTAAATTGTAGTTTGAATGTATTTTTTTACATCAAGAAACATAGGGCTATATAAAGGAAACACTTAGACCTGTTTACACTGCCAGTTAAATGTGACCCAATTCGATTTTTTTGCTCATATATAAGACAGATCAGATCTGTTCTACGACCTTGTAAACACTGAACAAAAAAACATGCATTCGGATATTCAGAGATCGGTTTCAGGCCACATTCATATACGGAAATAAATCAGATATGTGACAATGCGACTATCATGTAAACAGGCAAATCGGATTCCGTTTTGTTCTGTACATAAAACTCAACATTCAGATTTCTTGACTAACTGCATCTCTGTCTAATGTTTATCGTCTTTTTTTCTATATTTATTTCGTGTTGTCACTTGTCATTTTATGTACACTGGAAGCTTCTGTAGCCAAAACAAATTCCTAGTGTGTGTGTGTGAAGCACACTTGGCAATAAAACTGATTCTGGTTTTGTACGTCATTGTGGCCTTTTTTCTTAGTTTAATGTTGGCGTGTGTGGAGGCGCCAACGCGGTAAACAACAACAACGACAGAAAACATGGAGGAGGAAAGTGGTCAGTCACCACAAGCTCCTACCAGACCTGAGATCTTTCTCATACCCACAAAATCCTTTGAATGGTGGAGGACACCATACATAAAACATAGACGCAAGCTGCGATGACGCCCCTTTCCCCCCTCCTCAGCCTCAAAATCAAGTTGCGTGATTTTTTTTTTTTGCGTGAAATCATAAGCTCGTGCTCCTCTCGAAAATAGTTTATAAATAAACTTCACAAAGTGAAAACGTTGTCATACACAAAATAGCAACTGCACCAAATTGTTATTTTTCTCCAGTCTGAGCATATTTTTGTGTGTATTTTTAACTTCAGTTAAAAATATGTAAAATTGCTGGATTGATTTTGCGAACGGCCGAATACTAAAACATAGCAGGGACTACAACATTTGTTTGTTTGTGGGAGCACAACTCTTCAGATTTTACATACCCATGGCTCTCCCCAGGAATTACGGACGACCCAGAACTCCACTCCATTCTCATCTACACCCCATCCGGCTACAGAGACGATGTGGTTTATGTAGGGCTCCTGCACGTACTCGGAGTACAAACCACCAGTGTAGGCATCAAGCTTATCTGTTGCCATGATCCCACAACTACAAAGAAAAAAAATGAATCTGTGTCATACTATAACAGTGGACCACAAAACCAGTCATGAGGGTACATTTTTGGAAATTGAGCTTTATACATTTTCTGAAAGGTAAATAAATAAATAAGATTTCCAACGACGTATGGTTTGTTACAATAGAACAACATCTGGCTGAGATACAACTTTGCACCCTTTTCACATGTCCGGGTATCACAGTAGAGAAGTTGTCATAGTTGGTTAAACTTAGAGCGCAGTAAATGGAAGTACATTTTTTTTTTTTAACAATCCTATTTGATCAAATAATAAAAGAAAAATTAAACAGTAGGGTTATCAAAATTTTCAGAAAAACGAAAAAAGAAATTATGTGAAACTAATAACGGCAACCAGAAATGAGAACAATGTCAAATATTGTCCTGCCCATAGATGCCGCATTAAAAACACCTCATAATATAATATAGTAATATAAATTAATTATCCAAAAAGTTGTCAAATTAAGTTGTTAATAATGCACATTACTAAAAATAAAACAAAAAAAATTAAATGGAAACATTTATCATAGGAAAATTACACGATTTCTAGATGGGTCATTGCTTTATTATCCTTATGATTGAACTGGCAAATGACATGATTTAGAGCAGGGGTCACCAATCTCGGTCCTGGAGGGCCGGTGTCCCTGCAGGATTTAGCTCCAACTTGCCTCAACACACCTGCCTGGGTGTTTCAAGTATACCTGGTAAGACCTTGATTAGCTTGTTCAGGTGTGTTTGATTAGGGTTGGAGCTAAAATCTGCATAACACCGGCCCTCCAGGAACAAGTTTGGTGACCACTGATTTAGAGGGTCTAAATATAATATATAACATAAATATAAAGATATTATGCTAACCGGTTAGCCTTTAGGCTAATCAACTACTGCACCTTTAAGTAGGTTATGCTAACAATATTGACTTAGAAATTATTTTTTACAGTGCACATTTACAGTGTATAAAAGTATAAGATCTAACCTACTCAGTGTACTGTTAGTATATACCTGATGGGTCCTCCTGAATAAATCTCAGCTTTCATCTTGTCCAGTCCACTGGCTGAACCATAGTCTCCAACCTTCCAGAGAGTGAAGTTCTTCACTATGTTACACACGCCAAAGGTTGTGCAGGTGCCACACTGATTGAATGGTTTGCAGTCTGAAAGAAAGAAAGAAAGAAAGAATGAAAGAAAGAAAAACCCAAATGAATACAACAAAGTACAACACAACCAGACACTTCACCGCACCACTTTCTCACCCTGGTCCTTGGCCTGATAGTTGTTGCAGGTTTCATCAGGAATGCCTTTATTGTGAGCATATTCCCACACACCAGAATGATCTCCACCACTGCAGGAACCTGCGTCTCCACAGTCAATCACGTTCTGGACAGAGAGATATGCTGACGGCCATGCTGCTTTACGCTTGATGTTGATACGATCTGAAAAAAAAAAGAAAACAAGTTGCAGAGGGTGACAAAAACAAAATTACATATGAATATACGCAGTATGTTTACATGAAATCAGTCAAAAAGGAGAGAGGTTTTATTTTTGTGATCATTTAGTTTTTCTATCTGTACTTTTTTCTGCAAGTCGATCACAAAAAATAAATGAATGGTATACTCATAAATGGTACACAATCCATTTGTATGAATTTAAACAACATTATAAATGGTAATAATTTAATGTTAATATTAATAATGGGTAATAACTTATTACACAACAAATGTGTACTAAAAATTTGAACATTTCCTTTGTTTAAAAAATGTTTCCATATTTCCATTTACGCAAAGTGAACCACATTTGGTTTTTAGCTACTGAAAATTGGTGAAGTTCAACTATTTGGATCTGAAGCTGCATTGACAGGCACATCTACTACACTGAACCATTCCAAAACAAAAAGGTTGAACAACTACAATCTAAGATCACAATCAGATATATTTAATGCTTCTTGAGTTACAGGTATGTAAACTACACTATTGTTAAAAAAAAATAGGAGAAACATTTCTAGTTTTAACTTATTTTGTTGTTCAAATACTTTTTTTTTTTTTTTTTTTGCAAAAATGTAACAATTTATCAAGAACCCACAAAAAGTTTCCAAAATCTCTGGAACTGAAATACACAGGGCCTTAAATAAAATAAATGTTTTTCATGCATTTTGGAAAGATTGCACACAAATGACAATATAGTAAAAATAAAATCACTTTTCAGATTGACGGTCAAAAGTGGCTAAAATGCTGCATCATGTATGACAGACAGGTAGTTGGCGATGTCACTTTGTGAAGAAATGTCCACCGCTGATGTTTTGTTTGCCAAGCACTCACACATACCTTCAGCATTTTAAATTGTGTTTTTCCTATGCATGATTTTATTTTCAACTTTAAACTGCATCAAATTTGTGCATTTCAGGCCCTGAAAATGCCAATGTCATGTAAATGAATAGCAAAAACACAACTTAACATTATTGTTTTTCACCATTTGTGGAAAGAGTCTGCAAAAAGGAAGTGGCATGTTCACAAATATGCTGAGATGGTTGATCTCAACATGCAGAAACTGGCAGATCAGGAAAACACCTTCAAGTCATAACTGCAGATCACATGATGGTCAGGTGATAAACAAAGAAAAACAGCATACACATCAAAACTGCATATGACAAATCCATTTACATGTTGAATGATTAACCAACCATATGATTTATCATCCCAGTGTGACCTCATTCTGTGCTTTGCTTCAGTGTGGTGAAGTAGGGTTGTTAGATATAATAGGACTGATGATGTTTTGTTGTTCCTCATGAAAATACATTTCAGGCATAATGAGTCTTTAATCACTCGTCCTCATCTGAGACTCACATGATACTTTTATTCCCCCTCACAAAACAAAAAAGGAATATCTATTGGAAATATATAGGGGAAAAACCATCAAGGGAATTTTGCTAAAGATTTCCTTTTGTGATTTCCTCTCACATGCACATGACATTTTTTCAGTGTCATGAAAGTATATTTAATGAGTAATCACTTCATTAAAAGGGGGAAAATATAATATTTCAGAATAGAGCTACACCTTGGAAAACCTTTTTTTGTTGAATCAAATGAATTTCTAGTCATCTCAACTTAAGTCAAACCGACTAAACATATTTTGTTCAACATTGTATAGCTACAAAAACTAGTTTAAACCTGACTGACTTATTAAATTAAGATAAAGTAACATAAAAAACATGTCATTAAGACAAACTTTTTGCCATTTATTTTTTGCAGTGTATGATCTACACAACTGGGATGTTACCAAATGTTACCTTTAAATACAATAAGAATCAACTGTATACAAAGTGACCCACTTTTGGTGTTCTACTATTGAAAATTGGTCTGATTCAACAATTTGGACATGAAGCCACATTGACTACGTTTACATGGACATCAGTAATCAAACGATTTGCCTTCATGTGAATAAGACAATAATATGATTAAAGAGTTTACATGAGTTGATTTTTAAATATTCTTTTCATGATCTCGTTTTACATGTTATGACACATAATTCAATTAACGTCATTGCGTCATCACGCTATCCACATTTCCTCCAGAGTTTCATGTAATTTCGGGTGTTTCAGTTTAAATTTGTCAACTTTAACTGGAGTTTGGCACTTTCACTTTCATTCAGGAACATTTCATGCATGCCCCCAGTGACAAACGAGATATTGGATGCGAGTATGAACTGCTGGAAGAGTGTAGTTTTAATGAAGTTTGATACTGCGCACCGTAAAAAAAACTCTGCATTTAGTGATACAGGTGTCTGTGGTCCTTCACGGACTCGGTAGGTGCAGAGAAGTGTCAAACAGCCGTGTGTGTATAGACTATCCTGTCACAAAATGCAGCGAAAATCCTACCTGGCAGTAATAGTTTGATTGTGGTGTTTACATGTCTTTACTGCACATCAATAATGCCACTAATACTGGCATACTTCACATGTCTTAATCAGATTTATGTTTAGTTCGATTATGACCTTAATTGGATAAAATTGATAAAAAAATAAAATAAAATAAACAATAATATTGCTGTTTACATGGTAAACTCTTAATCAGAGTATTGTCTTAATCGCATTCAGATTATTGGTGTCCATGTAAACGTACTCATTGAGACTAGAAATAAAGAAGAAACTATTTTGTTAAGAAATAACAGACTTTGGAAATAAATGGCATCACCATTGCTATTTTTTTAGTGAGACTGTTGGGTTTGTTTCTGTTACTGATTTACTTATTTCCATGTCTGTAACCAAGTATTTTTACCTTATTTTTTAAAGGCCCTATATGTTTCTGTTCCAGAGATATTTGGATTCCAGTTTGGCTCGATGAGTGAATTGTTGAAAGTGTTTTTTGCATACAGGACAAACAAATCTTCAAGAGTTCACACTTAGCTGATGCTTGATTAAGTAAAAGCATATTTGGCATGCTGTCCTGGGAGAGAGCCCTGAGCTCAGAGGATCTACAAGCCTGGGGCTCCCTTCGGTTTAGTCAGGAGAGAGAAAGGGGAGTCTGATCTCCCCTGTTGTTGAAGGAGAAAGAGTGTGTAACCCACCAGTCCTACTGCACCCAACCCAGTCTGAGCTGGGATCGAACCAGCGATTCTGTTTATTGCAGTTGGTTGCTCTAACAAGGAGGCTAAAGACCATGGCCTCTAGCGTCTGTCAGTAGAGCACCTTTTGAGGTCAGAGGAGTGAGGTTTTACCTGCATAGCACTTTGCTAGCTGGCCTCTGTTGCAAGTGGAAGAAGTCGGGGTGAATAGGGGAGTTTTAACAAAAAACGAGGATGACTAAGGTAAAAAAGGTAGACTATTTATGTGCATATGAGGTGCATCTGATTGGTTAGTGATTGATGATGCAAGACATGATCCTCTTGAAATTGGTTTAAAACGTCACACAGAGGGGTTTACTTTAAATGCTACGGTTTTTATGGAAAGAAACATTATTTTCTAGTTTTAGCATTATACGTTTCTCAGGCAAAAAATACATGCTGTATGCAAATTGCCCCCCATTTGTTTTTATACCATTGAAAATTCAACAATTTACTCAGAGCTAAGCTGAGATACAAATATCTCTGAAACAGAAACGTATAGGACCTTATATATTTTATTGTATATATAAAATAAGGTAAAACATACTTCTCAGGCTACAGGCATGCAAATAAGTGAATCAGTGCAAACTTATTTCATTAACAGAAGCAGATCTAATCTCTGTAAAAAATATCAATAGTGATGTCATCTTCCTACAGTCATTTTTAGCTCCGAAACTTGAAATCTGGTTTCATTTAACAGAAGCTTAGTGAAATTTAGTTTAATTTAAGCCAAAATGTCACCCAAGCCTTTCCCCTCACCTGCTAATGCACTAGTGCTCCCATGCGCCCAGCAGGAGCCGCAGTACTGAGGTATATGTTGGTTGCGTGTAGTGCTGACGTAGTTGACGCCTTTGATGTTTCTCCAGTCCCACTCTTTGGGCAGTTCTTTCAAATTCATAGACTCATAAGGACGTGGTCCAGTCCTGTAAAACGCATAAAGTTGAACAATCACTGTGTTGCAATAAAACCGTCTTGTCAAAACTGTCTTGCATTCACAACAAGCAGCAAGAGGCCATGAAGGAAACCAGCACAAAACCTCATGCACACGCCACCTGCTTTTCTGTTAGCATCCAAAAAAATGGGAAATGAACCTTGAGGGCATGACATTTATATACAAATGAAGCAGGTGTCAAACGGTCACAGGATGGCTACCTTTTCACCACTCTGCTGTGTTTTTCTCTTAATAATTTCATGCGCTGAATTGCCATGATGTGAGTCGCCTGCTGTAAACTGGGCGACAGTGGAGCCAGAAATGAATAAATAAAATGAGACGACCAAAAAAATAAATAATGCATTACACTGGAAATCAATAATCTGTTTAAGTGAATTGCATTTGGGATACAGTACACTGTGGCCAAAACTGAACATTTTACCAAATAAGTTTAAAGCAGAAAAATTAAAATACATATTTATAAGTTAACAAATAGTACATAGGAGCCAGGATAAAATTGTTAATATTATCTAATGCCATAGCACAAACCTAACCTAACTACAAAGTACACACACACATAAATACACTACATGACAAAAGTCTTGTCACCTCTCCAAGTTTTAGGAACAATAAATAATATCTTGACTTCTAGGTGATCTTTTGTTATCAGAAGTGACTTATATGAAAGACAAAGGCCTCTAGATTACATGTATTTTACAGAAAGCGTTGTTGCAGGACTTCTTTGGATTTATTTTCAATGCCTCCTCAATCTTACTCCAGACATGCTCAATAATGTTCAGCTCTAGAGACTGGGCTGGCCAATCCTTGAGCACCTTGACCTTCTTTGCTTTCTGGAACTTTGATTTGAAGGCTGAAGTATGATAATTTGCCCTCTCCTGTGGTTTGTAATGTAACGGGCAGATGATTCATCAGAAAAATCTACCTTCGGCACCTTTTACAAATGATCAACGAGATGTTAAATTGTTATTTGTTGCTCTTGCAACTGAGATCGGCGACAAGACCTTTGGTAGATAGTGTACATTTATAAATATCCACAACAGGAAATACATAAGCATAGAGCTTACAGGAAATAATTTCATATTAGACAGTATTTTTCCTACAGTACTGACAAACCTAAAATAGAAACATTACCAATATTTAAAACATATATTACACCATTTAGAGCAATTTTCAAGTACATTAACTAACTAAACAGAGTGATAAAAACTGCAGATACATAGACAATAATCATAGGCTCAACAGTGTTTATTACTCGCCTGGCTTAACGTTAGAACAAAAACAAAAGATACACGCAAAATGCTGTCTAAGTAGGGAGCTCGCTATATATTGAAACACCGCCCTAGAGTCGGATTTCTTGCACTTGTCAGATAGACTTCAAAACCGTGTAAATACGTTTTAAGAAGTTCAGATATAAAGTAATAAACGTGTCATACTTCACTCCCTGTAGGTTTCTCCTCTGCTGGGGCTTGTAGCAGGGCTCGTTCTCGTTAAAATACCGTCCGGCGAAAACACCCGACAGAGTAAACAGATAAAAGAACAGCACGCGAGCCATGTTGAATCTCAGGCGGTCATATGATCATCACACGGGGCTGCACTGCGGGTTTATTCTGCCTGTCTGCCTGGAGGCGTGGAGGAAACATCGAAACTAACTTTCTTATTGGGCGAAGATCTGTTAAGAAGAAAAAAAAAGCGCTTGCTAATGTCAGGCGTATTCCTGCCTTAACTGACGGTAAATTTGACGGTGCACGGGAAGTCGAACCCGCAGGTAAAGCCCATTGAGATCTTCTGTTTCGGAAAAAGAGAACAGAGCAAGGGGTGTTTATCATAAAAGGTCAGTGTGTAATAAAATTAACCGTATCTTTTTTTTTGCTGGGCAACACTTATACAGGCCTACAGTAGTAAACATTTTATGTAGATCCAAATCTTTTATCAATGTTGTCCTAAAACTACTCAACAAGACCTATTTCTTGTCTTAGGACAATTTTGCTAAACTTTCTTCATCCACTTCAAATGTTGACTACTGTATAGAATGTAACGCCATCGTATAGAGCTGTGGCAATATCCACAAAAAAAACAAAACAAAATAAAACTATGTATTCAATTCAACCTAAACACAGGGTTAAAAGATGACAAGTGGTCTCATGTTAAGGTTTATTTTAATTATATTTCTGCTTAGCTTTATTTTATCATCATTCTAATGGAATTTCAATACTTTAAAAACTAACCAAATAAATAAAAATAATACATTTTTTATTATTTCCTAAGGCAACATTTTTCAATTTTGCTTACTTTTTAAAAAACTTTTAATTATTATCAGTTTATTTCAGCTTAATTTCAATTAACCAACGTGGATTTTAATAGATTAGGCGGTCCACAAAGATAACCTAACTTTACACACATATTTATGTACACTAACCGGCAATTTTATTAGGTTCACCTGTTTTTTTATAAAGTATTTGCAATATTTTCAGATATTTTGTAAACTTTTCCAATTGACACACAAGAGTTAATGCATCCTTGCCAAAAAAAAAAAGTAAATTTAAAATAAATACTTACCGGCCACTTTATTAGGTTTATTAGGTGTCCGTTACCCCAAATTTCTAATGAGCCAATCATATGGCAGCAACTCAATACATTTAGGCATGTTAACCTGATCAAGAATATCTGCTGCAGTTCAAACTGAGAATCAGAATGAGGAAGAAAGCTGATTTGAGTGACTTTGAATGTGGCATGGTTGTTGGTGCATCTCTCCATCTCTAGGGTTTACAGAGAATGTTCTGAAAAAGAAAACATATCCAGTAAGCGGCAGTTCTGTGGGCGCAAATGCATTGTTGATGTCAGAGGAGAATGGCCAAACTGGTTCGAGCTGATTAAAAGACCACGTTAACTCAAATAACTTCGCATCATGGATGTGCAGCCGACAAATCTGCAGCAACTGCGTGATGCTATCAAGTCAATATTGACTAAAATCTCTGATGAATATTACCAGTATCTTGTTGAATCTATGCCACAAAGGATTAATGCAGTCCTGAAGGCAAAAGCAGGTCCAAAACAGTACTAGTAAGGTGTACCTAATAAAGTAGCCGGTGAGTATATATCCACAACAGAAAATACATTAGCATAGGGCCTACGGGTAATGACCTTCTATAACACAGTGTTTTTCCTACTGTATACTTAGATTTTTTTCATTGTACTTTAACCCTTTTAGAGCAGTTTTCATGTGTTACATTATTAAACTGAGTTTTAAAAATTGGAGACACCGAGACTAAAAACTAAACACATGTTTAAACATTGATTGAAATTAAGCTGAAATAAAATGTTAATAATTAAAAGTAAAAAGAAACAAAAAATGAAATGTTGCGTTATTAAACTAACCTAAAATTAACTAAATTAGTTCGTTTAATATTCGTTAAATTAGTTTGTTTAATATTTCTATTTTTATTTTTTTTTACTTTTAGTTATTAACATTTTATTTCAATCAACCAATATGAATTTTAATAGATTGGGTGGCCCACAAACAATAAAATACAGAATAAAGGTCATACATTAATTCATACAGGTCATAAATATGATATAATCCATGTTTGCTATTCATCTGATGGTCAAAGTCCATGTTAAATTTGTACACTGTCTGCGACATCTGAGTGCAGGTAAGTATATTCTCAGCTATTTTGAAGTACTTCTAGAACTTTGTCATTATTTGTAAATATTCATGAAGGGCAATAGTAGCACTATAGTAGTATAGTGATAGTATTTTATTATAGTAGCATATGCTATTTTTATTTTATTCCATCCGATTCCACAGCATTTCCTGATACTGCCACAGTGAGCGTGAGCAGTAAGTATGATATTGTACACGTTTAGATAATACACAAGTTGATTATAATGTTATTGCTTGTGAAATATAATTTTCTAATGCGAAGCTTTCAGTTGTTATCACTGCACTTGCAGCCGTATCTGCATGCACTGATAATGCGCCTAAATGTAAAAACAGACTAATGTAGGAAAGAAAAGCAAATAAAAAATGTACTTTGCAGTAGTTTTGCTTGAGATGCACGTTCATGCTATCATCTGTTTCAGTTTAACCTCCAAAAGCAACTAGTTAGCAGCTGTTATCCACGTGAGCGGATGGGATGGCAGATCAAAGTCCAGCCAAAAAAGTAAAATGTCAAGTCAAGGGTTTCCTTTCTGAAGTGAGCCCTATAAAAAACACAAAGGCTCCATATTTTGATGCCGTTCTTCAACATGAAGGTGAATGCAGCAAAATTGTGTCCTTTAGACCAGAGGATCACATGCACTTCCACAATGCTGAAAGCACGCGGTAAGTCTTTTCTCACTGTTGTTTATAGAACTGCACATACATGACGAAAACTAGTGATTTTAAGTAAATAATATAGTCTTTTTGAACAAAATACTATAGTAAAGTGTTTCATACTGTTTACACTTCCTGACAAAAGTCTTGTCGTCAATCTTAAGAGCAACAAATAATAACTTGGCTTCTAGTTGATCATTTGGAAAAGTGGCAGGTCGATTTTTCTGATGGATCATCTGTTGAACTGCATCCCAATCATCACAAATACTGCAGAAGACCTTCTGGAGCCTTCATGTACCCAAGATTCTCACATAAATCAGTCATGTTTGGTGAAGGAAAAATCATGGTTTGGGGTACATTCACTATGGGAGCGTGTGAGAGATCTGCAGAGTGGATGGCAACATCAACAGCCTGAGGTATGAGGATATTTGTGCTGCCCATTACATTACAAACCACAGGAGAGGGCAAATTCATCAGCAGGATACCACTCCTGCTCATACTTCAGCCTCCACATCAAAGTTCCTGAAAGCAAAGGTCAAGGTGCTCCAGGATTGGCCAGCATTGGCCAGCCCAGTCACAGACATGAACATTTTTTAGCATGTCTAAGGTGAAGGAGGTATTGAAGATGTATCTTCTAACTCTGGGAGTCCTGCAAGAACGCTTTCTTTGCCATTCCAGATGACTTTATGAGATGTATGGATGCAGTCCTCCAAGCTCATGGGAGTCATACACAATTTTAATTGCTTTTCCACCACACTATGACTTTATATATTCTATACTGTACATTATTTCTGTTAAGTGACAAGACTTTTGTCTAAGCAAAGTCAGACTTTACTGTCCTAAAGAAATAATTAAAAAATCAAGGCATGATCATATTTTGTTTAGTTTAAATAAACATACCCTTGAGGCCTTTTCCTTTCATATAAGCCACTTCTGATACCAAATGGTCAAATAGAAGTCAAGTTATTATTTGTTGTTCCTAAAACATGGATAGGCGACAAGACTTTTGTCAGGTAGTGTATATATAGTATTTATAGGTCTTTGTTTATGAATGCAACTGCATATTAAAGTATGGATAACTATAATAAACACTGTAGTACACTGAAACTGTGGTGTATTGTAGTGTAATATATACCCTTTAGTCGTAGAAAGCTACAGTATTTTGTAATTTGTTTATATTACTATAGTTGTTGTATTACCATACAGAATCATTGCAACAGATTAATTTACCTGTTTTACTATAGTATGGTAAGATTCACTATAATACTTACTATTAATTACTGTAGTATTTGTCATATAACAGTCTGTTACACAGCCAAATTATTCAACCACATACTGAACACATTTGTAAATGACATTGAATGTTTTGTGACACTCACAGGAGTCTGGTGACACTAGAGGATGTCGTATTACAGCCGTCCACCAAGTCCAGCAGAAAAATGAACGTGTTTTACACACACCGCTCCAAAATGTCCTGCGTTCGCGACCTGAGAGAAGCATTCAAACACATCCCGTCTGCTGGACCACGAGATATACAGGTGTCTGAACTTCTAAAACGGGATACAAAACCAAATAAGGTTGGTAGTCAATAATTTTTCATTATTACGATCACAAAGTGCTCACTTGTAGCCCATTTGAAGGTGTATTTGGGGTAAGCATGAAATGAAATTGTACTTGTCAAGAAACATCTATGAGGCCATGCAAAATATTAGATTTATTTGTACTTGTTAAAGGGTGTCAGTGTTGTGGTTTTCTTGCACAATAGGCTCTTTTGAAAGTGCACTTGTGGGAAAATAATGTTGCAAAAATGCAACATTTTTGGCTCCTTTCATAGCATGACATGGCCACCACAATTGTTGTTTCTCATGAATATAAAATTAAAACTGATTTGTTTCTTAATAATTGATGCCAGAAAACATACTGGTAACCCTGCAAATGAGCGAGTAACATATTTTGATCTCACGTCACATATTAAATGAGTGGGACATGAGAGAAAAGTACTAAGAAGTGTTGTTTGGTGTGTTTAAAGTCAGTCAGTATATTTTAACATGTATACTGTATCTAAACGTATATGCATCACATAATATTAGAGATCAACTGGTCAACCTTTCCTTTTGTGGGAATCCAGACTCATTCATGGGAAAGATACTTGATAAAATACTTATCAATCCTTTGGGGCAGGTTTTGAGCTGCCATTGGACTGGATTTTTTTCTTGGACCTGGCACCCGTTTAGGGAGTAAACATTTTCCTAATTTGTAATCAAAGCTTCATTTGTATTTAAATGTTTTTTTCTTATAATGATGTTAGACACATTACATAAAATAATTGCTCATAAATTCCATTCTGAATCAATCAGTTCAAATGACTCAATGACTCATTCGTTAAGACAGGGACTTGCTGCCACCTACTTGCAGTTTGTGTTCATCTTTCGTTGTAAAGCATAATTCGTCCCTCCCTCATTTCATACTTTCATCCGAACAGATATATATATATATATATATTTTTTTTAAGATGTAAACTGTATCTAGAGAAGATCTGGTAAACCTTTCTCTTTGTGGAAATCTGTGGAAAGATATGGTTGTAGTATCTGTTTCGTCACTCATAGGTTTCTGAATAACGCAAAAGGAGCTACACATAGGTGTGGCCAACCGTCGCCATTTTGTTCATGCATCATCGCACCGACTGTGGGATAACAAACAAGGGCAAAGAGGCGGAGAGTGAGCGAAGCTACAGATGCCTGCTAGCATTTTGTCTAGACGGGCTTTTCTTTGGGATAAATGCTTTATACTTTATAACCGGCGACTCTTTTGTGTTCTGACCACATGTGCTTGGTTGTACACTGTATTAATAAAGGGTTCAGACTTTTAAAACACTGCTGTAATACATTAAGCCATTAAACATTGTTCTGATGATTTTTTTCTACAGGAAGAAAACGCGAATCACTTCCAAACAATTTAGATATAGTCTGTGTTAGTAAATGCAAAGGTATTGATAAAACCAGGCATAAATCTGTATGACAACACTTCAGATGACTGTTCTAGAGTCTACAGCAAATCATTCTGTCAGATTCTGGAGTGCATTACAGCTCTAAAGAAATTATAAATTATCCTAAATAAAAACAAATAGATTTATAGAGATGGTATATAAGTATATAATTTCACTCACCTGGGAAACGGAGGCAGCCTGAATGGTTTGTGAGCACAATAATGTGCACACATCAGCCCATATCATCTGATAATAGGGTATATGCCGAGCTAATGTGTTTCCCATACTGATAAACTTCCAGTGACCTGTTATTGTGAATTATTTTTCCATTTTTTTACGCTTCCTTTTACAGCATCAATGTTGTAATGTAATTCAAATACAATCAGTTAAACGGGTTTTGGCATTCGTTTAGTTGCTCAAGCATAAAACCAGACATAAAGCTGTTTTCTCGCACGCGCACGTCAGAATCCGTAGGCTAGAGCAGAAGCTCCATTGAATTTTCACCTTATTCTTGACAGATGAGCGGGCGCTGCCATTTGAATCTTTTTGGCTCGAGACTTTTGGTCACATTCACTTCCATTCATTTTTAGACATTAAAAACTGATGGTTTCGCTGTTTGATGTTGCAAACTGATATTTTCTTATTGTATTATTCTACTTGGTCTGTATTGTCATGCAAACATTTGTTTGTAGAGCAAGCAGTTTGACGGTTTTCTGCCGTTTATTATTCCTAGTCATTTCTCCCATAGGCGACTGAATCGGAAGTTCTAATCCCATCCCCTGTGTCTATGTTGTGTCTTGCCGGTGTGCTTATGCTAAGATAGGGCTGTTTTTCTCTCTTTTCTCCCTTTGTCCTAATCAAGGGCAAGCTGAGGGGGTGTTTTTTTTCCCTAACTGTCCAAATGTATCTTTCTTCGTTTCTAAATGCTACCTCCTATGATCTGTCTCCCCTGAAAAGTGTTTTGTGTGTGGACTGGGGGGTCCAATTTCGCTATACGAAAGTGTAGTGACAATAAAGGCTTGATTGATTGATTGATTGATTGATTAAAACAATCGAGAAAAACAGGCACACTTCCGCATTTTAGAATAAGGTTAATACTGCTCATATGCTCATATAATAAAGACATGGCAGGGATAATGTGATTTAATGCAGTGCTTCTTGTACAATCTGAGACCCACTTTATATCGGATATCACTCAGCCAGTGGATATATCTGATTTTTAAAGAAAGCAGACCTTAAACGCGCCGATTTTGCATTGGCATACAATTCAAAACGATTAACCCAGGCTACTAGCAAATTAAAAGTCCTTGCTTCGGCACATACCCTATTGCAGGAAATAATTCCAAAAGGCAATTGACTGTGTAAAGCCACATAAAACACAACAAAACTATAATGTATATGCAGAGTTCAGCGGCTAATCAGCCGGAATCAGCTGAGGTGAAGTGATGATGACCAGTGAGCTGTCACTCAAGTGGCCACGCCCTTAATTATGCAGACTTAATGTAACTTAATATAAACGAAACAGATGAGTTCTAAAAATTTCAGCCCCCTCACAGTTGTCATGAAGGGTAATATTAGCTGTAGTCAAAATCATCTGGATTTCCTGGAGCCAGCCCCCAAAGGCAAGTCGATGAATTGCAGTTTTAGGTACTTCCGTATTAGCTTCCCGAGGGAGAGCGGGAGGTTGCTGCTTGGTTCTGATTAGAATTATTGTTTGCTGCATGTTTTATCTTTTTTAATTATACTTTATTTCTCAATTACAAATTTTGAACAGATTCGTTAACAAAATCTAAAATAGTATTTTTTTAAAAATAGAATTTTATATTTTTATTAAAATGTCAGGCAAAAAAAACATGCATCTTTTATTTTCTGCGTATTGCACAGGTCAATATTAATGTGAAGATCATCCAGGAGGTGTGCAAAGGGAACAAAGTTGTCTGGGATGGAAGCTACCTTCCTAAAACTGAGTATATAGTAGCGGACACTACAGGATCCATCAGTCTGACGGTCTGGCGTGAACACAACATTACTGTCGGAGACTGGTACACCATCACTAATGTCTCTGCGAAAGAATTCAGAGGCAAAGCAACTCTATCGACCACCAGAAACACACAGATCCTCAACATACCATCTCGAGGGACAGCGGCTGCTGCTGAAGTGCCGACGCAGACTATAAAATGTGACATCATTGGTGCAAACATTGAAAGTCTTATCATTTGTCCACATTTACATGAACTCAAGAGTGTGACATCATCAAAATCCACTGTGTATTGTTTTTCATGCAACACGTATTACAAAACCACTGCCATTGTCACAAAGTTTAGTGGTCATCTGAATCTTAAAGCAGAATCGGGGAAGGTTGTGAGGGCCAGGATTGAAGATGAGCTGATCAGATCAGTGGTCAGAGTGGAGGACGCTGCGTCTCCACAGGACATCATTCAGAGATTAATTGAGCTGCCGCCCATGCAGATTACCATCCGTGAAAACAACATTGTGAAGATTGAAGATGTTCCTAAAAACACTGAAATCAAGGCTGAAGCTGAAGCAGAGCTGCCTGTTAAAATGGAGCCTGTGGAAGAATCTGACGACTTCTGTTCACCACCAGACCATGGGGTTTTATTCAGTTCACAATCCAGAAAAAGACCATTTACTGACTGAATCTGATCATCGAAGATCACTTAAACTTAAAAAAGCTAAACTCAACTTAAAAAGCATTTTAGTTACAAGTACAAGATGCAAAAACATATCAATATATGCAGCATTTTTTTAAATGAAAATTAACCATAGTTTTATATATATATATAATATATATATATATATATATATATATATAAAACTTTAACCCCCGGTTTCACAAACAAGGTTTAAGGCTAGTCAGGATTAAATTGCATGTTTGAGCTGTCTCAACTTAAAAATAACTTGCGGTGAGATGTCTTAAAATATGTCAGTGTAATTTTTTTTGTCTCCAGGTGCCTACCAGTAATATTTTTTTAAGGCCATTTTTATAAATGAGTCTTAAATAACCTTATTTAACTAAGGCCTAGTCCTGGCTTAATCTAAGTCATGTTTGTGAAACTGGGCCTAAATATGATAAAACCATAGCAGGCTAAGAAGTCGCACACAAAATATCGTTTGGCTACACTAGCCATAGTTTAACTATGATATTAGCTGTGGTTTTACTATTAGTAGTCAGTGCACGCATCCAAAAAGTCATGGTGAATGCAATTTTTATATAATAAACCTGTGGATACTTTTCATAAGGGTTGGCAAAGCATATGCTAACTAGAGTAGCCTAATGCTTTTCTAAATTAGTTACCACACATTACATTAAAGCACAAGGCCCGCTATACTTTTATGGTTAGTGTGTACACAAAGGACACATTCCTGAATTATCTTCTAGAAGAGTGACCTGGTGCTTTGCTTTTAATGTGAACTTATGATGGATATAAACTACAAATATGTCAGTTTTGGAGAAAAGTTAATGACATACGTCTGATGATATTTGTCTTAACGTTAATTTAATAACTTTGATGTGTGTTTCTTATGATAAAAAGATTCCTGTTAAAAAAAAGCCAAAGAAGAACTGTGCATTTTACATTTATACAAATACACGTATTTATTTGTTACTTTAATATGTTATAATGATAAAAAGTAAATATTTAACAATGTTGAGGAGTAGGCTACAGTCTTACCGTTTTAACCAGCGTTTCCAGGGCAGCCATTGCGAAAGTGGCCTTCGCTATTTCTTCGCTATTTCTTCTGCCATTCAGCGAATGGAGTTATTCGCTGAAAACAGAGACAGAATGGCCTTAAAAGTTCATCTGATTGAGCTCAAATTGTTTTTATGCGGTAAAAAAATGTTTTTTCTTTCCTGTTGACAGCAAAAGGGCGTCTCGAAAATCTATTTTATACAGTCTATGCTCAAAATTAATGGTGAATGACGACGCTAGCATTAACGTTACACCTGCAGATTACATTAAAAATAAATCAAACGTGTTATTTGTTAGCCGAACACACATTACATAAAATAGTTTTGATAATATATCGAATATTTTTTGTTGCTAAAGCTATAAACTACGAGTTCTCACAGCCCTGTGGGGAATTATTAATGTAAATGAGCAGTATGTCAGATTGTCCATTAAAATAAGCACAAAAAAACAACTTTAACAATGTTATTTGAAGACCTATGTATGTGAGCCTACTTACCGCATCTCAAATTCTCAAAAGAATATTAAAATCCAGAGAAATTTGCCTTTTAAACACATGACAGACCGTCGTCTCGCCATCACTAGTCTATTACGTCACAAACTCTCGATTTTAGGTTTTGCTGTGAAAAAACAGGATCGCTGATTCATACTGATTGCTTGTCGAATGTTCTGATATGTGCCAATGTTTTACCATAGTAGTTGTATATTGCTGATAAATTATCAATTTCAGATGACTTACAGCAAATAAGACAAACATGAGTCTAAAACAAATTAAACAAACCCATTTTTAAGACGCAGCTGTTAATCAGTATTTGTGCATGTCAGTGTTGTGATTTTAAGGTTTACATTATGTTGTGGTTTATTTATAACTTATTGTGATGTATGTTTCTTCTCTTTGAATTAAAACCCTCTAAATCAGTGGTTCTCAAACGTTTTTCATCAAGTACCACCTCAGAAAAAAATTGTCTCTCCAAGTACCACCAAAATGAGCAGTATTGAAATACAGAAGCGCAATAGGCCCAGTAAAGCAGCTACAACTCTGCACAGTTAAAAAACATGGCAGATTACATCAGAAATGTATATAATATGTCATATATGACATATAGCCTATATCATTTTTGATCAATTTTGAAATGTGTGTAGCATGTACATGACAAAAATTCATTCCTCCGCGTACCACAAGAAGGAAGGCTGCGTACCACTAGTGGTACACGTACCACAGTTTGAGAGCCACTGCTCTAAATGATCTCAGATCCTGTTGATTCCATGGTGACTCTGAACACAAATAACATTAAGAACAACACAAGGACAATCATTCATTCAAACATTTACTCGGAAAAGATTTCATCATTCACAATCCATATTCTTCACCTGCCACACTAACAAAATTGGCATTAAGTGGATTTTGCTGGCAGCACTCATTTAGCGCCAAAAAAAAAAAACAATTACCAAACAAAGACACCGTGATCATGTCATCATTCATGTCTGGAATGAAAATCAAATGATTGCATTAAACATATTCTGATCAGAAAAAACCAACAACAGTATTTGCAGAGAGATATTTCACGTGCCTCCTCTCATCCCTGAAACATTTCTTATGGCAACTACAAACTGTGAACGAGAACATTACAAAACATCAAGACGATCTTCAACTTTTATTTCATTCATAACCGTGTATACAGGGCTGCTTATTACTTTGTACTTCCGATGGAGCAGAGGAAGGAGTGTACGAGTCTAATGGATGCAACGTTTGTACAAGGCGTGATTAATATTAAACTTTTTTTTTTTAGTGGTTAAGAACAGTCTGTACTGATCTCAGACCAGTCTCCTCCTCTTGCAGTCTCTCTCCATCTGATCTTCAGATGCATTTTTGACCGTTGCGGCACCCAATGGAGACACAGAGTTGAGCAGGGGGTCTTCAGACGCCTGTCCGAACAGAGACAAGAGCAGAGCAACACCGAAACCTGTGGCTCGCTCACCCTGATGATACACAGTGAAGAGTTATGAGGAATTGTTTCAGAGAAACCTGGATTATTTTGATTGATGGTCAGTGTGGTTTACTTACAGCGTGGACAGGTGAAGCGATGTCCACATGCACCCAAACACCCGGCCAATCAAAGCCCAGGTGAGAGGCGATGAAGAGGCCAGCGCAGGAGCTCTGAGCATTCTCACGGTCCTGTGGACACAGACAATACGTTTGCTTGTTATGCATGACTGGCAAAAGGATTAGAAGTATTGATTTATTTATTCAAACAGTAAAACGAAAACTTGAAATTAAATTAGAGAAGAAAAAAACATTGATAAATGATAATATATCCATCCATTTGTCAAATCAATCCATCCATCCATCCATCCATGTAGACACACATTATCCATCCATATATTTGACAAACATCTATCGATCTAAACATATGCTATCCATCTATTTAGCAATCTATCGATTCATCCATCTATCGAACTATCTATCCATCCATCTGTGCGTCTATCCATCCAGCCAGCCATCCATCTACCCATCCATTTAGCCATCCATCCATGCGTCTATGTAGCCATCCATCCATCTAGCCATCCATTCATGCGTCTATCTAGCCATCCATCCACCCATCCATCTATATAGCCATCCATTCATGCGCCTATCTAGCCATCTATGCATCCATCCACCCATCCATCCATCCATCCATCCATCTATCTAGCCATTAATCCATTTAGCCATCTATCTAGCCATCCATCCATCCATCTAGCCATCCATTCATGCGTCTATGTAGCCATCTATTCATCCAGCCATCCATCTAGCCACCCACCCACCCATCTTTCCATCCATCTAGCCACCCACCCACCCATCTATCCATCCATCTAGCCACCCACCCACCCATCTATCCATCCATCTATACTGTACATCTATTCATCCATCCATTTATCCATCCATCCATCCATCTATCTAGCCATCCATTTAGACATGCATCTATGTAGCCATATATCCATCCATCCATCTATTTATCTAGCCATCCAGTCATGCACCTATCTAGCCAGCCATCCATCCATCCATCCATCCATCCATCCATCCATGCATGCATCTATCTAGCCATCCATCCATCCATCTATACTGTACATCTATTCATCCATCCATTTATCCATCCATCCATGCATCTATGTAGCCATCTAGCCATCCATCTAGCCATCCATTCATACATCTATCTAGCCATCCATCCATCCATCTAGCCACCCATCTATCCATCCATCCATCCATCCAGCCATCCATTTAGACATCCATCCATGCATCTATGTAGCCATCTATCCATCCATCCATCTATTCATTCATGCATCTATCTAGCCATCTATCCATTTATCTAGCCATCCATCCATCCATCTATCCATACTGTACATCTATTCATTCATCCATTTATCCATCCATCCATCTAGCCATCCATTTAGACATCCATCCATGCATCTATGTAGCCATCTATCCATCCATGCATCCATCTAGCCATCCATCCATTTATCTAGCCATCCATCCATCCATCTATACTGTACATCTATTCATCCATCCATTTATCCATCCATCTAGCCATCCATCCATGCATCTATGTAGCCATTTATCCATCCATCTAGCCATTCATTCATACATCTATCTAGCCATCCATCCATCTAGCCACCCATCTATCCATCCATCCATCTAGCCATCCATTTAGACATCCATCCATGCATCTATGTAGCCATCTATCCATCCATCCATCCATCTATCTAGCCATCCATCCATTTATCTAGCCATCCATCCATCCATCTATCTATACTGTACATCTATTCATCCATCAATTTATCTATCCATCCATTTAGACACCCATCCATGCATCTATGTAGCCATCTATCCATCCATCCATCCATTCATGCATCTATCTAGCCATCCATCCATTTATCTAGCCATCCATCCATCCATCCATCCATCCATTCATGCATCTATCTAGCCATCCATCCATTTATCTAGCCATCCATCCATCCATCCATCCATCCATCTATACTGTACATCTATTCATCCATCAATTTATCCATTCATCCATCTATCTTGCATCCATCCATCCATTTAGACATCCATGCATCTATGTAGCCATCTATCCATCTATCTAGCCATCCATTCATGCATCTATCTAGCCATCCATCCAGCTACCCATCCATCCATCCAACCAAAAAAACTTAAAAACTTCCAAATGAAAAGGCCAAATAAAAAGTAATCATAAAAACAGTAATAAAAGTTAAAATCTTTACTATTATTATTAACCACAATGAATAGAAAACAAAGCTAATTAAATACAAAAAGTAAAACTAAATAGTCCCTCATGTCCTTACGCTAAACTATTAATTTGCAGAGTAGTGAACATTTGTGTATGGAAAAACACATTCCCCCTTTCAGAAGTTTGTGATGTCAGGTCTCACCGCCACAGAGTTCTTCATGTCTGCAAGAGCGGAGGTGAATTCACTGAAGTGCAGCTCTGGGCAGTAAACCAGAGGATGAGCCAGATCTCCACTGCTGCGTCCGGCGCGCACACACGCTAATTCCCACTGCTCACTGTTGGTCATCACTGCTGCATGATGCTTCCCTGTGGAGATTCCCTACAACACACACAGTCAACATGTTTTCATGCGCCTGACAATTTGGAGATTTGGGCTTTTCATAAAGACGTTTGAGTCTAATGTAATGAAAACATGCCAAACACACATTGAAGAGTTTCTTTCTCACACTTGTGTCTGTAGATTTTGATTACAATAAATGTTTTGAGGGTGTTTAATCAAAATGTTTTTTTTTTCTCCATAATTGTTCATTTCTGCATCACTTAACAACAAATTGCACAGGTTTATTCATATCTGTATTAAGATTTTTACTGAAGGATGCCATCACATCATATTATTAAATACCTGCAATATTTTCAGATATGGTCAACTTTTACAATTGACACACATAAATGTATTCTTGCCAAATAAAAGTATAACTAAAAAATATATACTTAGCGGCCACTTTATTAGGTAAACCTGTACCTCTGCTCATTAAGTAAAATTTCCAATCAGCCAATCACATGGCAGCAACTCAGTCCATTTAGGCATGTAGACATTGTCAAGACGAGCTGTTGCAGTTCAACCCAAGCATCAGAATGGGGAAGAAAGTCGATTTTAAGTGACTTTGAACGTGACATGGATATTGGTGCCAGACGGGCTGGTCTAAGTATTTCAAAAACTGCTGATCTACTGGGATTATGCACAACCATCTCTAGGGTTTACAGAGAGTGGTCTGAATAAGAGAAAATATCCAGTGAGTGGCAGTTCTGTGGGCGCAAATGCCTTGTTGATGCCAGAGTTCAGAGGAGAATGACCAGAATGGTTCCAGCTGATAGAAAGCCAACAGTAACTCAAATAACTACTTGTTACAGTCGAGGTATGCAGAAGAGCATATCTAAACACACAACATGTCCAACCTTGAGGCAGATGGGCTACAGCAGCAGAAGACCACACCGGGTGCCACTCCTGTCAGCTAAGAATAGGAAACTAATATGGCACACCAAAATAGGATGATAGAAGATTGGAAAAAGTTGCCTGCTTTGATGATTTCTGCTGCGACATTCGGATGGTAGGGTCAGAATTTGGTGTCAACAACATGAAAGCATGGATTCATCCTGCCTTTTATCAAAGGTTCAGGCTGGTGGTGGTGGTGGTGTAATGGTTTGGGGGATATTTTCTTGCCACACTTTGGGCTCATTGGTATCAATTGAGAATCATGTCAACGCCCAACCTACCCGAGTATTGTTGCTGACCATGTCTTTCCCTTTATGACCAAAGTCTACCCATCTTCTGATGGCTACTTCCAGCAGGATAACGCACCAATTCAAAGCATGAATCATCTCAGACTGACTTATTGAACATGGTAATGATTTCACTGAACTCAAATGGCCTCCACAGTCACAAGAGCTCAATCCAATGGATCACCTTTGGGATGTGGTGGATTGGGAGATTCACATCATGGATGTGCAGCCGAGAAATCTGCAGCAACTGTGATACCATCATGTCAATGTGAATTAAAATCTCTGAGGAATATTTTCAGTAGCTTGTTGAATCTATGCCATAAGGTTTTAAGGCAGTTCTGATGGTAAAATTGGTCCACCGGTATTAGTAAGTCGTACCTAATTAAGTGGCCGGTGATTGTGTAAATAGATATAATAAATAAAAAAAATAAAAATAAAAAAAAACACATTTGTAGGTTGCATTTTACAGAAACATATCAGACCACCGCAATATTCTCCAGTGACTAAGGCACATGACAAAGTGATTCACTTTTAAAAAAGGGCATCACATGATTATGAGCACATGACTACTAACTCCAAATGTAACCGGTTTTGCCAAAATCCAAAGTGCAGCAGCTATAAAGTAGTAGAAACCACTATCTCTCCGTTGAAGAGAGAAGTGCTTTGCATTCTGGATTTCCTCCAGTTGCTCCTGATATCATGTGACACTTTGATTTCTCTTTTTACACTTCGCTGGAAAAACAATCTGGCCCACATCCACCAGATATCAACATATACCAGATCTTATTCTCACAAAAACATGTCAAGACTAGCACTTAGAACAACTGCTGTGAAATCTAACATAGAACAAGTGTCTTTTAAAGGAAGTTTAACCAAAAATTAACCTTCACTACTTATGGGTGAACTATCCTTTTAGGTAGTGCTGGGTGATAAGGACAAAATCAATTTTACATCTGATGATATTCATATCAGGTTAAGACAAAAGATAAAACAATAGCATTCTGACTTATAATATTATGTCTCATTCTGAAGACAATCAGAAACGCACCTGAGCGCCGGTCAGTGTTGCCATGTCCAGTATGATGTCCGCTGACAGGTCTTTGCTTGCATACACAACCCCATCAGAGAGCACCAGCCTGCCTTCAGCATCAGTGTTGTTGATCTCTACAGTCCTGAGAGACGACAACACACGCACAGTTAGTACTGGTCTGGACACACAGAAGGTCAACCAATCCACACTTACTTTCCAGAGTAGAGAGTGTGAATGTCATCTGGGCGAGTGGCTGCAGGTCCCACTGAGTTCTCAGCCAGGCAGAAAACCGCATGAAGATTGTCCTTAAAGCCCTGAGACAAAACACATTACAGGTGGTTTATACCAGAGCCAAGCTTGCAGCTGGAATTAACACTCGCTTACCACAGTCTGAGTTCTGGTTTAGGTTTTGACCAAGAAAGTTTGGGGTAAGTTCATTTCTTAGATAATGAATTCAGCAACAATACAATAAATTGATCAGAAACAACAGTACATAATTGTATAGTAGGGGTGTAATGGATCACGATTGATCTGTGATTCGTACAGTTCACTACCCACAGTTCGGAACACACGAGACCCACAAAATAATCTACCAACGTTTTTTAATGGCAGATAATTCCTGAATTTAAAAAAAAAAAAAAAAAAAAAAAAAAAAAAAAAAAAGCTTGCCTCTCTCGTCATTTAGGATTTCCTGTAAAATATAATGATGACGAAAGAAGTTGTGGTAGGTTATTCGGGATGTGGTGGGTTTCATTCAAGGTGTTTTCTGTCACTACTTGTTTAGCCTGCATTAATGCATTCCGTGTAAGCAGCAAGATTAATCTTTGAAAGATCAGGATCTCAACACCCACGCAACATAAATTATAAATGATGGTGATTTGCTAATGTTTATCAATCCTCCGAATCGCTGCATTGAAATCTGAAAATACAAAAATCAAGAAAGAGATTGAGTCTTTACTCGTTTGAGTTAGTTATGAAGTTACAACCAGTCAAATAACAAAGAAGTACTGGGATAACAGCTTATAGTTTAGATAAAACCACTGATGTTTATGGTAAAGGTTAAAATCACCGTCATATGCATTCAACTTGACGGTCAAAATGAAAGTTGCAGGCAGCAATTACATTGATTAACCAATAGGTGTCGACAACCAGCCATCAAAATTATGCCACTGAATAATTCTTCAAAAATGATCATCTAGCAGTTTTAGGAGTAAATCACTGAATCATTTATTGACAAGAGACTAAAAAAATGGGTCGTACAAATTATAATGTTAGATTTGTACATTTACTGTAGTGTTATCAGCAGCAGTAGTAGTAATAGTAACAGTGAATTTTTAACATTGCAATTTATTTCCATTCAGCTGATTATTTCTTAAATTTTATTTTTTAAATTTGAGGTTTCAAGTTCTGTTTGTTCAAACCAAGTGTCTAGCAGTGCTGTTTTTGTAATAAATGGAAAGCAAGGGACATTTGTCTCCTCCCCTCTTTGACTGATCTGAAAAATGGTCCGATCCGTTACAAAAAAAAAAAAATCTGTGTGATCTGAACCGCGAGATGAGTGATCCGTTAGTGTTACAAAAGGCTTCAATTTCACTGTGCATTAATGAAAAAAAACGTGTCAACAGAAATATTAAACAGTACAATGGTTTCCAACAATGATATTAAGAATAATTTCTTTTTGAGCAAAAATGAATCATTACAATGACTACTAAAGCCTGTCTCACTACAAACCTGGAAAGATCCAGTTATAATTACATTGATTGATGATTGATTGATTTTATTTGACAATTTTAACAAAAACATACAAACAGTCAGACTAATTCATCCAATTTAAAAAAAAAAACTGTCGAGGATAAAATATACAAAAAAAGCCACAGGCTTATTTCCATTGTGGTCTTCAATATTCTTAAAAAATGAACAAGCAAATCATAAATGGAGGGCAAACATCATCAGCTCAGCAACTCGGCACAACAAAATCCTCAACTACAACTGTAAAACAACCACTTTTTAATTTCCCTTCTAAAAACTCTCAAATTAAATCTTTTTAAAAATCGTAGAAATTTGACCTTTTATGAACTTTTAAAAAATGACTTTGACTATAACATTCAATATTTAATTTTTAATTTTCCTATTGCAGTTAAAATAAACAAATAAATATTTTATAAAAAGTACTAAATTGTCTCTCTGGCAGTCTACAGAGACAGAACTTTGGTACGCTGATATTCCACACACACTTGCATGTGTTCAGTCATGAAACAAGACACCACCCATAAACACAACATTAGGTGGACACAGTGGATGCATATTAGTGTGAAGGGTTTCAAGATGAGGGTTAGGATCTTTCTCATAGATAAGTTTAGCATCCAGTGATCTTTAGCTAGCAAAACAATCAGAAGGATAAAATACCTGCTTAATAGTAGCTTTAAACGCTCCTAAAATGGCAGCAGCTCCTCCACAGTCTCTCTTCATCCCCGGCATTGTGGTCTTCAAGAAAACAGAGAGAGAGAAGAAAAACCTTCAAATGTACAAACTATAATAATGGGGTCATCTGGAATTAATTCAAACTATAGTCTTACATGGTAAACATGCAAGAATGCAATTGAGAAATCTTCCTCTGATTTAATGTTTGATGGGAGACGTTTTTTGCAGAAGTCATCAATGATATGAGCTTATAATTTAAAATTTCAACCATTATTTGTTGCAAAAACACATTGAGTCGCTTTATAAGACATGCATTATCCTTCTGGCAGCATATGGTGTGCTTTATGATGAGCATGGAAGAGGCAGAAGCCAATTTTAAATGATTTAAAAAGAAAGTCATATACACAGAAGACAGCTTGAGGGGTAAAATGTGAGGTAATTTTCATTTTTAGGTGTCTTTTTCTGTTAACATTAATAAAATAAAGAATTAAACCAAGTTCACACTGATTCATCAATTTTAGCCCTGATTTTCGCTCTGTGGCAAATCTGTGCTTGTTCACACAATCGACATTCATGTAGTGTAAATGATCAACAACGCGATCAAAGGGAATCTGTGCAATATCTGGACCAGATATTAATAAAATGAGCTTAAAGGGGCTAATAAATTTGTCCTTAAAATGGTGTTTACAAAATTTAAAACTGCTTTTATTCTAGCCAAAATAAAACAAATTAGAATTTCTTCAGGAGAAAAAAAATATTATCAGACATACAGTGGAAATTTCCTTCTCTGTTAAACATCATTTGGGAAAGATAAAAAAATAAATAAAATAAAATAATTTCTACAATGATGACCATGTTATTTTACATTTGATTGTTCAATTTCTGTATTTGAATACTTAAATACGACTCCCTAGAAAATCATAATGCACTCTTTATTTATTTATTTTTGCTTGTAATTAATTATAATTTATTAGAAAAAGACTTGATCCTAGTCAATCTAAATTAGTGAAATCAATCCAAATAGAGCTATTCAAATCATCTGGTGAAATGATACTCGTATCTCAGCAAAACAAAACATTGCAATGTCAGATTTCACAGCCCTAGCTTTGCTCTGACCATATTTCAGTGCACTAGGCTGTCAGTAAGGTGTGATATTTACTTTGCCCTTGATGCTGAGTCCACCGGTGTCATAGACAATGCCTTTGCCCACCCAGGCAATGGTCTGTGTGGCACCTGAAGGTGTGTGGCTGAGCACAGCCAAAGCAGGAGGATTCAGGGCCGCTTTACCAACTCCATAGATGCCTAAGAGCCATTTCACACACACATTAAAAAAATGTGCACAGGAATTACAGTTGACCTTATATTCGGTATTTTCAGGCTAAAACAACATGCACTGTTTCTTTTAGTGCCAGAAAAAGTCATCTAGATGAATAAGTGCTAAATCAGCACTTCTAAATTAGCATCACTCATCTCGTGATGAGACTGCAAGCTCATCTCTTTCATAACACGTCAGAAAATGTTGCAATCTGCTGAGTTTTGAAAGCACAAGCTCAAGATTACCTCCAAAGCCCTTTTGTTTCAGTTCCTCTCCTCGAATTATAGTCGGAGTGATACCCAAGGCATTTCCCACTGTCTTGATTTCCTGCAGAATATGACATCATTTACATACACACAGAGCTTGACATTAACTTTTTTGATCACCGGCCACTGCGGCTAGTAGTTTTCCAACGTTACTAGCCACTCTGCATTTTCACTAGCCATAATTTTGTTGTTGGGAAAATATATTTTTTATGCATAAATTTGACTTTGACATGCTAAAATACTTGATTTAAATTGAGCAAATCCATTAGCAAATGGGTCATTGGTTTCATAGTGTTAAATTGCAATTATTTTTGACATTTCACATGACTTTTCAGAGCTCAAAATTAAGGATTTACCAAATTTATGACTGACCACACCAAACAATAATTATTTTCTAGCCACAAATTTTAAATGCGTCAAAACAAGCAAAATACAGCTGCATACTACTTTTTATTAAACAGAATTAAAAAATTTTTTAAAACAATGAAAAACAATTGACTTTAAAAAAAAAAAATAAAAATTATTGTCTACTATCTAAAACTATACCAAAGGTCTCTCGGATCACCAGTTAACTACACATAAATAGAGAGTTAAAAAAAAAAGATAATTAAACCCTATTAACAAAATCAAAAGCAAATAAACCTCAAATAAACCTTTCAGATGAAAGACATACCGTGTGCAATAATGAAAAGATGATCACATGCACTCGGTTAAGGCCAGTTAATAATCTGTTCAAAGTGAAAGCAACCAGTGCTGCTTACAAAAAGACAAATTTGGAGCTCTTGAAAGCAGCAGGACTGAGGGTGCATGTTCATCACTTTTTGTCTATTTGAAAGAGAACCGATCACAGTTGCGTTTCCAGATATAGTTACTTCACGAAAGGAAACGGGAGCGCGCAGGCGCTTTAAGAAGTCGTGCATCACATCAGCTGTTAGCGCGAGTGATCATCCTTGCTTCTGCTCGCGCGAACACAATTATTTTTGTCAGTCATGCTGCTTCTTCATTCTAAGATCACATTTGCACGCATATTGGGTCATCCTTATTGTTGAACCCTGCTTTTAAGAAAACTACCATTTAAAATTATTTTCAACCAGCCAAAGTGGCTAGTGGGATTGTCTGTCTAACCCGCCAAAGCTGAAATCTACCTGCATTTGGCGGGTGTTAATGTCAAGCCCTGCATACACAAATATATAGACATACAGTCATACATATTATCAATAGGAATGTCCATTTCAGTAAGTTCTTTGTACAGCATTGTAAAAGTAAACTAACTACAAGAATTTTAAATGCTAAATAATAAGCTCAATGTTTAAATCTCTCAAAACAATGATAACAGACTTTACAAAAAATCTCAATACAATGCTTATGCAAACAATAAACAGCTAATGAGCATTTGCATTCAATTTTAGCGCTGCTTGTTTGAAGTGCATGACCTATTTATCAGGTCTAACAAAAGGTACACACAAAAAAGTGCTCCACACTGTTTATAAATAACCATTTAAATAGGAATGGTTACTGCGCCCTAAGCATCCCGATTATTTTATACTGCATTATAAAATGAAGCTATTGTGCATGGTGGAACAAAAGACAGATGCATAAAAAAAAAGTACCTCCAGGAAGTCATCAGTGTTCATCTCGCTGCATGGAGTGTCCACGATTCGAGCAGCCAGACGAACTCCATCCGCTGCATTAGCAAGACACTGTTAAACGAACAGAGGGACACACATACATTAATAAACTAGTAATAAAAGTTTGAACCAGCTTAATCCTAATCATATGTAGTGTGCTCTATTCAGGTGAGTGGGTTTGACAAACCACCTGTAGAAGACACTCTTTCCTCTCTTATGCACCAGGCACTTTGTTAGAAATACTTGTTTGTTAGTATAGTTAAGCTTTTTATAGCTTTCTATTTTCTATAGATATATTGTCCAGATCTAAATAACATTATTTTCTATGGCTATAACTTCTAAATCTAAAATGGCCAGTTTTTTACTAATTATAATCCATTAGATTCTTCATTCACACATCCTTTGTTTTTTTTTTAAGGTCATGGGTTGTTGTAATAAATTTGTCAAATACACAATGCTATATGTAGTGAAATCTTGAGTCCATGTAATCAAGAAGAATCTCGAAACACCTTAGTCCATTCTAATTCACATACTTGTGCATTAATATATTTCCAACTATAAATATTGAAAGTAATGTGTTCTTACTGAAAATCCCCCACCTCACCCCTGAAATCAGGCACTCTAAATACCCGGGTTTTACACTTATTTATCCAAAAAAGCAAAGTATGGAACGTTGAGACTTTCAGACTCAGATGTTGATGGGCTAAATAACCATATAAAGTTAATATTTAGGGAAGTTGAGTGCATAGTGCAGATATTAGAAGCCTAAAGCAGCATTTCTCAATCAGATCAATTTGTTTTTCATAATAATTTGTTTATGTGATACATATATTACACACTACCTGACAAAAGTCTTGTCACCAATCCATGTTTTAGGAACAAAATAATAATTTGATTTCAAGCTGACAACTTGGTATCAAAAGTGGCTAATGAGAAAGGCAAAGGCCTCTAGATTACGCTTATTTTACCAAAATAAATATAATCATGACTTGATTTTTAATTACTAATTTAGGACAGTAAGGTCTGACTTTGCTTAAACAAAAGTAATCTAAATACTGTACAGTATAGAATATAAAGTCATGGTGCAGTGGAAACAGATTTAATATTGTGTATAACTCCCATTAGCTTTGAGGACTGCATCCATACATCTCTGCAATGACTCAAATAACTTAATAAAGTCATTATGTCTAAGAAAGTGTTCTTGCAGGAATCCCAGAGTTCATCAAGATTCTTTGGATTCATCTTCAATGCGTCTTCCATGTTACCACAGACATGCTCAATAAGGTTCATGTCTGGTGACTGGAGTGGTCAATCCTGGAGCAACTAGACCTTCTTTGCTTTCAGGAACTTTGATGTGGAGGCTGAAGTATGAGAAGGAGCCCTATCCTGCTGGAGAATTTGCCCTCTCCTGTGGTTTGTGATGTAATGGGCAGCACAAATGTCTGATGCTGCCATCCACTCTGCAGATCTCTTAAAACCCAACTTGACTGATTTCTGTGAGAATCTTGGGTCCATGCAGGTTCCAGTAGGTCTTCTGCAGTATTTGTGATGATTGGGATGCAGATCAACAGATGATTCATCAGAAAAATCCCCCTTCTGCCACTTTTTTTAAATGATCAACTAGAAGTGAAATTATTTGTATTGCTCTTATAACTGGGATCAACAACAAGACTTTTGTCAAGTAGTGTGTGTGTGTGTGTGTAGATATATATATATATATATCTCGCAGCAGGACTAAGAAAGTGTATGAAGTGCAAGTTGACCTCAAGTGTGGAAAGCTCCAGAGGCCCGTTGTCCTGACCCACAGTGATAAACTCCAGAGTCACGTGTTTCTTCTCTGTCCTGCGAGAAGACGCCGAGCGGCGGGTGAAGAGCGGGAAAGCTCTAGCAATAGCACACGCTGATGCAAACACCTCAGTGCGCTCGCAAACCATCTGAAAGGAGAAAAACAAACATACAGTATTAGCTAATGCGAAAGATGAAGAAATGCTTCAAGTTCAGCTCGATTAACAGCATTTGTAGCATAATGCTGACAAAAAGATCAAATACCTGCGAATGGTGTATTGAAACTAACATATGATGTGGAGAAAGTCTACTACTGTATGTACTTCCGTCACAAAACATTTGTCTCATTTTGACTCGCTCTTTCTGAACATACCATAAAAGTCTGTCACCTGAGCCAAAATTGGGCATCTTTGGAGACATCTCACAAATATATAAATCACAGGCAGTAACCGTGTATGATATTAGCAAAGAAAAGAATTCTACAGAATTGGAAGTCAAATTGGAAGTTTTTGAAACCTGGATTAGGAGTTTGATTGGATTTTGATTTAATTGATTTATTTTCGAACAGAAATATTGTACATAAAATATCATTAAAAAAAATTCAATTTCAACATGGTCGAATATGGAGTGGGATGAAGCACAAGCTTATTATTTTCCCACCACATTACCACACACATCATTCATCCATTACTTAAACTTGCTTCTTCTTTTACTTATCTCTTCTTTTTACATGAGACATATTCTATCCTTTTGGCTCCTTTGTCATATTGTATGTTTGAATCCATTTGTACTTTTACATTTTGTGACATAGATCTAAAGAAAAACATAGTACTGCAAATAGCCATTAATTAAAATTTCATCATACCTTTCTCATTTTATCCTTTTTCAGTCATCTTCATCATTATATTCCTTAATTAATATTTTTATACAACTTTTTAAATTGATTATTAACCTGACATTGTTTGAGTGTCTGATCTAGACTGTTCCATAGTTTTACTATTTAAGTTGTCCTTGTTTTCAACCTCCTGAAATGTTGTTCTTCCCTCCCCCTTGTCTTTCTTCAAGGAACTTTTGTATGCATTTCGGGAGTAATTTATTCCTAGCTTTAAACATAAATTGTGCTGTTTTAAATATAACCAAATCATTGAACTTGAGTATCTTCAATTTAAAAAAATAATGGATTTGTATGCTCCAAATACCCCATGTTCTAATCAGTCTAATGACTTTTTTCTGCATTGCACATAAGAATCGTAAATTAGATTTATATGTATTCCCTCAAATTTCAACACAATAACTCGTATATGGCAACATGTGTTTTATATATATATATATATATATATATACACACACACATACACAAATATATATATATATATATATATACACACACACACATTTATTGTCTAGAATAAATCTTGCTTTACACACTATTGCTACAGTTTTTACTATTTTTGATATCACATTATTTATTTGCGGTTTCCAACTAATTTTATGATCCAATACAACCAAGAAACTTAATTGCATATACTCTCTGTAGAACTTTATCATCAATTATCAATATCAATATAAATCCTTGTAGTATGCCACAATTTACATTTAGATATGACGATTTATGGTTGCCAATTTTCATGAACTGTAGCCTATTTTTTACTAACTGCTTATCCAGTCCAAGGCTACTCCTCTAATACCATACCTTTCTAATTTATTTACCAATATATTATATATATATTAGTTTAAATTTTATGTTGCCCATGGTAAAATTGAGATGTGTGAACAAAACAAAAATCTTTCAAAATCTGGAATCCAATTAGGCTTTATATCAGCGATGCTGGCTTGTCACTCCTTATAGCCTGGACTAGTTTGGCATACATCAAGTTTTAAAAATATAATTTATTTAATATATTTAATCTTTGTTTTTACTTATGCTTTCTTGATGATATTGTATTATGCGTGTCCGACATTCTGTGTAGTGTGAAATGGCTTTTGTACTCTTTCTGTTCTATTTAAGGGTATTGTTCATTTTCTAATGCTACAAACAATAATTTATATATATATACACACACAAAAAAACAATTATCTTACAATAAAGTTCTTAATATATTTTATTAAATTATTAATATATTTAAGTTATGTGTGTTTAAAGTATATATTGCTGCTTCGTTACAATCTAAAGCACTTTTGTATCTTATGAAGGCGTCTGTGTGTGAAGTAGCAATTAATAACTGGGCCAGTTGGCATTTCTGTATGGAGTTTGCATGTTCTTCCCTTGTTCACGTGGGTTTCCTCCATGTGCTCCGGCTTCCCCCATAGGTGAATTGAATAAACTAAATTGGCTGTAGTGTGTGCGTGTGGATGAGTGTGTATGAATGTTTCCAAGTACTGTGTTGCAGATGGAAGGGCATCCACTGTGCAAAACATATGCTGGATAAGTTTGTGGTTCATTACGCTGTGGCGACCCCTGATGAATAAAAGGACTAAGCTGAAGAAAAATTTATTAACGAATAATAATGAAAATAATAACCAGTAAACTCCAAATTCAGCAAATAAGAATTTCTGTACGCATTAATTGAAATAATTAAAATGTGAATTCTTGTAATTATTTCACAAGATTACCATTAACAAATTAATAAATGCATTTTTGAAATGTGCAATTTCACATTTATTATCAGTTGCCAAACAAAGTATTTCACATTAATCCAGAAACATGCATGAATTAACATTTTATATAAACACATTTGTGTGCTTGTGTGTGTTTATGGTTCATTTTAAATACTTCTGTACAATATTACATGAATCTAATCATTTAAACAATCACATAAGTATATGAGAAGTAGAAATAGGGATTGCATCTGTCAAATGAAAATTATGGTCATGAGAAAAAAAAATAAAAAGAGAAATGAAAATTACCCACTGAAACATTTTCAGTAGTTTCAGTCGGCTGTTTTTGACAGCTTGTGGTTCAGTCTACTTGAACAAAAGAACTTTACATACTTTAAAGTTCTGGTAAAGTGCTTTGAAATGTGCAGCTTTATTTGATGTTTAATTTCAACTGAAACACAAAATGAGGGTGGGACATCGAGTTGCTCATTCCCTTTTAAAAAAACCAGCCAATAGTGTTTTGTTCTATCACCGCTCTGCCAGTGAGAGTGGTTGAGCTCAAGTGCATCAAATGAAAAGCAAATGAGAAGCATCTTGAAGTGGGACGGGGCATGTCAGATACTAGAGAGCATTTGATTGGTTATGATATGAGGAGAAACTATAGTCTAGAGTTGACATGAATAAAACCGTTGATCCATTGAGCTGGAAGTGACAAGCGTTACATGTTTATGTCAGTTTTATATCTTCCAAATGCAAACTGTGTCACTGTTTTGGAGCACACTAGCTCATAGACATCCTAAAAATGAACAATACTGATACTTACATCTACAAAACATTATTTTAATTTCATGGGATCTTTAAGGACATTTTTACAGGAACTTTAATCAATAATGGTGTAAACTGACCACAATGCAGCGGTTGTTGCCGGCAGGCAGGCAGGTTCGGATCAGGCGGGTGAGGAAGTGGGCAGAGGATGGACTGTTGTGGCGACTGACCCGTGAAGGAAGAGCCGCCACCGCTGCATGACTTAGATACAGCGGGCAACTGTCCGTAGGGTTGGGGTTCAGAGAAGACAGAGCGGCTTGCCAGAGCTGAAAACAAACAGAGTACACATTCATTAAAACAGTAGCACCATGCTGTATTACCCGACATCTACAATGAAGAAAAAAACTACAAAAATGACAACATGCAACTACTAGAGGAACACTAAACAGCCCAGGCTAACAGGTCTGTCAGGAAACCGGAAGGTTACGATAAACAGCACTTCCTCACAACTAGACAACATGGGAATTTTGAGCTAAAGTGGGTTTTATATTTGCACATTCGGAATTTCACCTAAATAATATCATTTCGGAAAAGTGTATATACAAATTCTTAATAGGGAAATCACATTAGCAGCCAATGACTATCAAAGTACAGCAATGCTCACGGTCAATAAATCAGAGTATACAGAAATCAGAGAGAGAAATTCAATACCTTTTAAGACTCTTTTCATACATTTTATGACATTATAACCACTTTCATCCGGAAACAATGGAGAAATTTTAACTTGTGCGCGCGCACACACACACACACACACACACACACACACACACACACACACACATATACATGCACACATATAAATATACACTAAATATAAAGGCAAGGCAAGTTTAGTTATACAGCACATTTCATACACAGAGGAAATTCAAAGTGCTTTACATAAACAGGAATAAAATAGACATGTATAAATAAAATAAAAACAAATAATATAAAAAACAGATGAAAACGGCGCAAACTCCAAAACACCGGTGTATCATATTTTCTCATTTTACTCTGGGATTCACCATTCTGATGATCTGGAAGAAATTTATTAACAAAGCACACATCATAGGGCGTCACGGTGGCACAGTGGGTAGCTCAGTCACCTCACAACAAGAAGGTGGTGCGAGCCCCGGCTGGGTCAGTTGGCATTTCTGTGCGTAGTTTGCATGTTCTCCCAGTGTTTGGGTGGGGTGCTCCGGTTTCCCCCACAGTCCAAGACATGAGGTATAAGTGAATTAGGCAAGTCAAATTGTCCGTAGTGTACGTGTGTGAATGAGAGTGTGTGTGTGTTTCCCAGTGATAGGTTGCAGCTGGAAGGGCATCCACTGTGTAAAACATATAGTATGCTGGATAAGTTGGCAGTTCATTCCGCTGTGACGACCCGTCGACCCCTGATTAATAAAGGAACTACGCCAAAAGGAAAATGAATGAGTACACATCCTAATTACCATGATATGGCTACGGTACATCATATTATCTTGAAGAAAACAAAGGTTATAGCATGTTATATTTCAAGAAAACATGAAGCATTGTTGTTTTGTGCCTACTTTGAATTCACATATAAAGTTAAAAGGCCTCATAAAAGTCATTATATCACTATTGATGCATGCTGTGTAAATGCATTCATGTCACCTTTGAGCTGCCTTAGTAGTTTGTATTAATTTTAACGTAAATGTATTGATGACACCTAAACGCCACCTCAAAATTAACGTTATTCCTGTGCTGCTTTCTGACTCGTGATACTGTCCTTATAAAAATTAATTATGGTTTTGATATATTTAACGTGTGACAACCAAAGCAGTTTTTTTAGCAAAATTTCCTCCACTTTACTCGATGTGTAACTACACGTTTTTACTGTAACGTTAACAAAACTATGATTATTTACTTTTTTGCTGTTAATTTTCGCAAGAGTTCGGTTGTGGAAATGTAATGTAACAAATGTCATTAAAAAGCTTTAAAGAGTGTCGTAAAATGATAACTGAAATGTTTCTATTAGTAAAAGCAGATTAACGTCAGTGGTCTGTTACACAACACTAGTCAGCACGGACAGGTTTCACTGTAACTTTAGCAGGTAAGCTAACGTCAATCTGTGTTTACCAGTGGAAATGCTTGATGTTTAACACTGCGTACCTCTTTGGTGACCACTGGCTGTAGTTTTCCCTTCACCTGGGTCCAGTTGGCCTGCTGCAGATTAGCGAGCTGACCGACGATCAGGACCGGCCGGTTTTGCGGCTCCGAGTCCCCGGCTGAAGCCTTGAACTCCAGCAGCACGTTCGCCATCTTCCGCCCGAATGAGACTCTTCTGGAGGAAGACGCACTTTGACCTTCCGCTTCTGCTGCTCCGTCTCGCGAGTGCTTGCAGTTTAGTTAGGGTATGTGATATACAGCCCTAAATCCTTTTGAGGGTCCCTTAAAAATTGAAGGTAGAGTGGAAAACCAAACAAGCTGCGACCGGAAGTTAACGATTGTTTAGATAATTTATTAAATTAGCCATTAGCTGTATTTTAGGAACGTCCACCTCTACATCACCCCAACCCTATATCTAACCATCAAAATAATGTAAAAACAGTAATTACACAGAAAATTACTCGTATTATGTATTAAATTACCCTTTAAATTGTTTTTCATTAACGTCTACTCCTACCCCAAACTCCAACAGTAATGTAAAATCTGAATTATTGTTGTAACAACGTCACAAAATTAAATTATGTTGACGTGAGTATATAAGAAGAAACTGCTGATCTACTGGGATTTTTATGCACAACCATCTCTAGAGTTTACAGAGAATGGTTCGAAAACAAGAACATATCCAGTGAGCGGCAATTCTGTGTAGGAGAATGGCCAGACTGGTTCCAGCTGATAGGAAGGCAACAGTTACTCAAATAACCACTCGTTACAACCGAGTATAACTGAGGCTACAGTTCACACAGTCTCACCAAAATTGGACAATGGAAGATTGGAAAAATGTTGCCTGGTCTGATGAGTCTCGATTTCTGCTGCAACATTTGGATGGTAGGGTCAAAATTTGCCATCAGCAACATAAAAAACATGGATCCATCCAGCCTTGTATCAACGGTTCAGGCTGCTGGTGGTGTAATGATGTGGGGGATATTTTCTTGGCACACTTTGGGCCCATTTGTACCAACTGACCATTGTGTCAACGCCACAGCCTACCTGAGTATTGTTGCTGACCATGTCAATCCCTTTATGACCACAGTGTCCCCATCTTCTGATGGCTACTTCCAGCAGGATAACTCACCATGTCATAAAGCACAAAACATCTCAGACTGGTTTCTTGAATGCAAAAAATAAGTTCACTCTACTCAAATGGCCTCCACAGACACCAGACTTCAATCCAATAGAGCACCTTTGGGATGTGGTGGAACAGGAGATTCACATCATGGATGTGCAGCCGAGAAATCTGCAGCAACTACATGATGACATAACGTCATTGTCTCTGAGGAATATTTCCAGTATCTTGTTGAATCTCTGGCATGAAGGATTTTTTTTTTTAAGGAAAAAGAGGGTCCAACCCAGTACTAGTAAGGTGTACCTAATAAAGTGGCCAGTGAGTGTAGTTTTGTTGTATACGTTTTGACTGTGCTCGTACAGGAAGCATAACATTTTTCATGCAACATTTTTATTTAATTATTTGGTAACTATATTAACCTTTCTTGTTAAAATTTATTTAATGTGTCATTAAACTGAAGAACTGCAGAGAAGGGAAACCCAAGCATAAAATATTGGTAAAAGAAAAACATCACCTTTCGCTAGTGCAGAAAGACAAAACACCAAATCCTCCCTTTATATATATATATTTGTTTTAATTTCATTAAAAACCTGGTCAGCTTTAACAGAAGGGTCAAATAGCATACAGTAGTACCGTAATGGCAGAAAAATATTAGAAATTTCACACTGGATTTCACGCCAAAACCATGAAGAAAACCACATGAAATGGGTTTAAGCCTTGAATGTGCAGTTACACCATCTTCTAAAATAACACAAGAATAAACTCTCTCTGGATTTATAAAATAACATGGTCAACGTCTGCATCATTTTACCCCCGTCATACAGTAGTGGTGCAAACACCCTTCACAAAAACCAACAAGAATTGATTTTTGAGAGGACTGAAAAAATGCAATACACAAAAAACAGAAAAGACAACCTGTAGGCTTTAGACACGGCTACTAACAGACGACAACAGAACTCCATAAACTGTACACATATGTGCAACTAAAATAAATAATTTCATCTTGTACAGGGAACAGTAGTCGTACAGTCAGTCAGCAGAGAGGTGACTGAGCTTCAGTCCGAGAACGACGATCAAAGTTCAGTTTAAAGCTCAGACTGATACGGTAGTGACAACAATAATCAATGAAACATGGACGAGCAAAGCTTTAAAAAAAAAAAAAAAACAACATCCAGGATTAGCGCACAGATGTCCACTCTTTAAGGCAAGGAATAAAGCAAAACTCCTGACTGAAATGATACTGATATCATGACAACACTGCCATTAAATGCAGACACACTGTAACATTCAGTTCATTCAATACCTGCTGTCAGAATCCCAACGCTATACATTTCACCACATAGAAAACAACTGTTAGGAAAAAGACTATGGTTTGAATAGGTGATCCTCAGTCTTTAACTTCCTCAATGGCTTTTTGGAGTGTCAGTGCTTCACTTTCTTTCATGCACACACAGACATACACACATGTGGAAAATCATTCTGTGACATCGTCTTGGGCTCAAATCACACACACATCCTTATAAATAACCACAGTCTGATTGAAAGACAGCTTTCCAATGCAAAATGCAATAGAAAAATGCAAAAATGACACTAACTGAAGCCAAGTATGTTGGAGAATCTGTTGAAAACATGTTAATTGAACAACCTTCAAAGACACATTTATACTAGAGTCTCCGTTGTGCATTTATTTAAATGCCAATTGAACTTAATGCCTACTAATGTCTCGTTAACTTGTCCTAATATGAGTCCAATCAAATTTGTATCATGGTTATACAGTACAAAATACTGTAAAACTGCAACCTTTTTATTATTGCTAAATTTTATAATGCCAATCGAGATGGGAAATGATTAAACATCATTTAAATTGTATATAGGAAATATGAAAATGTACTGTTATGTGCTTGAGTAAAACATCAGCTTTCTTTTATTCTGTAAACTACACTCAGATTATTTCTGCTGCTTGTTTAAATATATTTAAAATCAGCTGAATCAACAATTCGAGTTTTTCTCGAATATGCTTATAGTTTTTTTTTCAATCCATTTAAATTTGTAGAAACGAATAAGCTAATTGATTTGTGTTGGGACAACATGAAGGAACTGTGGAACCCTGCATTTTTTATTTAGAGTACAGATGATATTCCTTGCTTTTTGTTAATTTAGGGTGTTTTCACACTAGCAATTTTGGTCCACACCTGGGGTTGTTTGTCGTGAGAGTATGGCACGTTTAGCTAGTGTGAACGTTGTCTTCTAATCTTGGGTGTGCACCCGTGAACTGTACCTGAGTCCGCCTGATGGTGCTTTCACACTTGATCTGAATGCCTGGTCCAAACCAAAGTTCGATAGTCCCCCCTGGGCTGGTTTACATTCAGTCTTTTTTCCTTCTGAACTCTGGTATGCTTGTGCCATCAAGCTGGAGTTGTGACTATATACAGCTAAGTGATGGCCATGAAAGCAAAGCACCAAAAATGGAGACGTCCGCATATCACTGTTGTTTTGTTTTTACCAAAACCAAAATACAAAGAGAGCGACTTGCATCTATCTGCTGCTGCTGTAAAAAACATGCAGAACATGACGTGATGTCTGCAGAAGTCGTTTTTGGAGGAGACAAGCAGACATTATCACTGTTTGCCCTGGGTCAGTCCTGCTGGTCGCCAAGTTAGGTGATACACAAACAAAAACACACAAGAATGAACATTATAAAAACTAAAGTTTGTAGTACAGTTGGCGGTTCACTTTCGTTATTTGGTACATTTGCATTCACATCAGAAGTGAACTGTACCAGAGTTCGCACAAACCGTACCCCAGACCACCTCTTTCAGGAGGATTCAGGTACGGTTCACGGGTGAGCATCTGAGTTCAGAAGAAAGCGTTCACAATAGCTAAATGTACCATACTCTGACGTCAAAGGATGCGAACCAAAAGCGCTATTGTGGAAGCACCCTGAAAGAGGTGGTCTGGGAAACGGTTCACTTCTGATCAAATAACGGAACTGAACCGCCATCTGTACAACAATCCCTAGTTTTCATAATGTTCATTCTTGTGTGTTTATCTGTGTATCACCTACCTTGGTGACAAGCAAGAGTGATCCAGTGCAAACAGTGATAATGTCTTTGTCTCCACTTCTGCAGAAACTGCGTGATGTTCTCAATGTTTTTAATACTTTTTGCGGCAGATAGATGCAAGTTGCTGTATTTTGGATTTGATAACAAAACCAAATGATTAAGTAAAAGCAAAACGACCGTGATATGCAAACATCCCCATTTGGCGCTTTGCTAGATGCAAACGTACCAGGGTTCATAAGGAAAAACGACGATGTGAACCACAAACTAGCTAAACGATGGCAGATGTTTCCATTTGTTTACAACAACAAATGAAAACATCTGTCATTTTAGCCAATTTCCTGAAAATGAACTTTAAATTTCCTCTAAATGACAATACATCAATATAAAACGTCTATAATAAAGTAAATATTAATGTTTTACTCAAACACATACCTAACAAACCCATACAATCCAACAATTTTCAATTGGTCTTTTCCAGTTAAAATAAATATGTTTATACTTGTTAATCTGATTATATGCATGTTTGAATATGAAACAACATTTCATATGAAACATGACCTGGATATTCTTTTGAAGAGATTTACCCAAGCCAATATGATGATCTTGCAGGAGAGATCTTCTTATCTTCCCTCATCAGCTTCCTGTTTACTCTTCAAATGAGATGACATAAGTGGCTGAGATAAACATGCTGCCGTTTCGCAACCCCTCTCTGAAATGATGTGCTTGTGTTTGGAGGAAAAAAAAGGTCCTCTGAAAGGATCCTGAGGGCTAACACTGCCTCTCGCTGTAGAATTAAACACATGATCATCGATTAAAGACGCTCCACTCAGGGGGCCAGCAGGGGGAGTCCTTACAGGCTTCATCTTGTGGTGTAGCGTTTCAAATAGAAGCACCTTCTGTTTGAGGAATATTCCACACTTAAATAATGGTCTAACATACACACTCGCGCACACAAATACATCCGTTTTCTCATCCATACTGGTAAATCCCTCCTAGAGGCCATGGAATGATTCAACTAAACTTGGTCCCGAACAGAATAAGTATTAGAACGACAACTATGACGAAGAGAATTAAAATGACCAACATCTTGCGGTTCTTCTTCTGATACTGTTCAGCCTGACAAAGAAAGGAGAAAAGATGAGTGTGCTTTTGCTCTTTGTTACATATTAATACTTTTAAATGACACACGGATATTGCAGAGTAAATTAATATTGCAAGCAAAGTAAATGTAAGCATTTAACCCTTGATTTATTGTTTAACACGTTGTCAGGGCTGATAAGAGCCTCACCTTTTGTAACTGCTGGAGTCCCTCCTCTGTTTTCACACAAGACTGTTCCACATTGAAGTCGATTCTGTCAAGGACTGTACCCTGGATTTAATTTGCCATGATGTTAATGCATATTTTGAAAAACGTATGAAGTATATACACTCACCGGCCACTTTATCAGGTACACCTTACTAGAAGCAGATTGGACCCCCTTTTACCTTCAGGACTTTCTCAATCCTTCGAGGCATAGATTTAACAAGGTACAGGAAATATTCTATTCTAAGCTACTACGGACTCATGAAGTACATGAAGAACCGTTCACTGCCTAGACAGACAAAGATAACCCTCTATAAAGTCATGATTCGCTGGCCTTTGGTTCAGAAACGTGGACAATCACAAAAGCCATGGAACAAAAGCTCTTCGTTTTTGAAAGAAAAATTCTGAGGAGAATATATGGCCCAATTAAAGACAATAATCAGTGGAGGATACGTCACAACAATGAGCTTGCAGCCTTGTATAAGGAAATTGATATAGTTAAATATATCAGACTTGCGAGGCTAGGGTGGGCAGGACACGTCATATGTATGGATGAAAATTCCCTTCCAAAAAAATCTTCAGCACTGACCTGGTAGGCAAAAGAAAAGGAAGGCCCAAACCAAGATGGCGAGAATGCATTAGCAGTGACGCCAATGTTTTAGGAATAAGGAATTGGTGGGAAGTTGACCGGGACAGAGAACATTGGCGGAAATTACTTGAGGCAGCCAGGATCCAGTAATGGGATGTCGCGCTAAGGATGATGATGATGACAGGAAATATTCCTCAGAGATTTTGGTTCATATTGACATGATAGTGTAACTTGTGTTGGTCTTTAGATGTAAACTTTCCAGTTCTCAAGAAGCGCAGTCTCGTGGGTTCTTTGGCTTAGTTGCAAGGAGGACATACGAAGCTCTATCGGCAGGTATTTACCCATGATTTATCAAACATACAGGGTGAACATCATAAATCTCCATAACAGATTACCTTGTGCAATTTCTCTCTCCCTCTGTCTCTCCGCGCGCATGCGCGTGACTGATACTATTTCCGATCTTATTTAAAGGTACAGAACATTAGCTTCATATTAAATTTTACTCCCTACAATAGCATCACACAGTTGCTGCAAAACCATGATGTGAATCTCCTGTTCCACCACATCCCAAAGGTGCTTTATTGAATGGAGTTCTGGTGACTGTGGAGGCCATTTAAGTACAGTGAACTCATTGTCATGTTTAAGAAACCAGTCTGACATGATTCACGCTATATGACATGGCGCGTTATCCTGCTGGAAGTAGCCATCAAAAGATGGGGACACTGCTGTCATAAAGGGATAAACATGATCAGCAACAATAATCAGGTAGGCTGTGGTGTTGACACGATGCTCAATTGGTACTAATGGCCCCAAAGTGTGCCAAGAAAATATCCCCCACACCATTACACCACCTCCACCACCCTGAACCGTTGATACAAGACAGGATAGATTCATGCTTTCATGTTGTTGATGCCAAATTCTGACCCTACCATCTCAATGTTGCAGCAGAAATCGAGACTCATCAGACCAGGCAACATTTTTCCAATCTTCTGTTGTCCAATTTTGGTGAGCCTGTGCAAATTGTAGCCTTAGTTTCCTGTTCTTAGCTGACAGGAGTGGCACCCGGTGTGGTCTTCTGCTGCTGTAGCCCATCTGCCTCAAGGTTGGACGTGTTGTGTGTTCAGAGATGCTCTTCTGCAGACCTCAGTTGTAACGAGTGGTTATCTGAGTTACTGTTGCCGTTCTATCAGCTAGAACCAGTTTGGCCAGTCTCCTCTGACCACTGGCATCAACAAGGATCACAGAACTGACGCTCACTGGATATTTTCTCTTTTTTGGACCATTCCCTGTAAACCCTAGAGATAGTTGTGCATCAAAATCCCATAGATTAGCAGTTTCTGAAATACTCAGACCAGCTCATCAGGCACCAACAACCATCCCACGTTCAAAGTCACTTAAATCACCTTTCTTTCCCATTCTGATGCTCGGTTTGAACTGCAGCAGATTGTCTTGACCATGTCTACATGCCTAAATCCATTGAGTTGTTTCCATGTGATTGGCTGATTTGAAATTTATATTAACAATCAGTTGGACAGGTGTACCTAATAAAGTGACCAGTTAGTGTATATGGAACTGTCTCATTTAAACCTCATTTAATAATGTTTATCTATTAATTACTACAGGATGATATTAAATGTACAACATAAAAAATGAACAAATAATATAATAATAAAATCATCCAAATAAATTATGTTTGTATAAAATATAAAATGGTTTATCAAGAAGCACACTGACCTGTTCAACAACCATTCCGGCAAGATCTCTGAAGATCTCGTTAAGGTCAGAAATGGATTGAACAATTTGTCGAATTTCTCTCTCCCGCTCCTCCACCATCACCGTGTTCTGTTGAACCAGCACGAGTTGGTCATCTGTAAATCCCTACAAAAGAAGAAAAAGACATTTCTGCAGTCAGATGTCAACAGTGCACTCAAGTACACCTAAATAGAAATGTTCAAGATAGTTTATTATTATTCTTATGCAACAGGCGATATCCATTACACTTCTATAGACTGTTCACTCTATAGCCTCTTTCACACAGCACGTGCAAGAAGAGAGTAAGCAACATGTGATTTTTTTCAGTGTCCATGTTAACAGATAGGAGCTTTCATGCTACACGGTCAATTAAAGTGACAATGCATTGATAGACCAAAACACATTGAATGACAGTAAAATGAGCATTTTTCCCAATAAATGCATCGTTCATATATACTGATTTTTATACAGTCAATCAAATGAACTTATAAAAATAAAACAAATGAACTACTTGTTTTGGCCCGAACTACAAAATCAAGTTTAAAATAAATTATAGTACCAGTTTTGCTTAAGTTGCACACTAGTTTGATTATGTATAAATATTATTACATCTATACAGCCTGCTGACAATCTTAAATAAATATGCCATAATAAATAAATAAAACCCCATGATATAACAGGCAACTGTCTTCTGAGTGCACTCGAAAAGACATGAATGACACACCTCATAGTAAAAGTGAAAAGTGTTTTTAGATGGATTGGATGTATTAAGAGACATTTAGAAACAAAACCGTGTAATTATAACTCTTATTAATTTGTGGTATCGAAGATGTTTAAACTAGATGATATCTACTTCCAATAATAATGCCAATTACAGTCATCAGTAGTTTGATAGACTGATACCTAAGGCTGATATATACTTATGCATCAAGCGCATGTGTATGGTTCAGCGCAGCCTTCATGCAGTCACATAGCAGTCACCGTGGCTAAGGCGCACCTCTGAGTCGCAACAACCGTAGAGAAAGCTTTGTGATTGGTTGCAGTGATGAGTGTGGGAGTTGTTGAGAGCCACAAGCTCGATAAAGCGAGTGTTTACAAGTTTCAAATCCTGTGAAGGAACCTCAGACGGGAACTGTTGTTTTGTGTTTACCTTATGATTAAAGTTGCTGCACATCCTTCGATTCCCGCCTCTGAATGAGTGAGTTTTAGCTACTTGTACATTAAAATATCATCATCCAAGAAGAAACTCGACACATATGAACATAAAAACCTACTGCCAGCTAGAGTTTCTTAAGTGTTATTGCAGAGCAACACAAACAGCACACAGAAGTATAAATGCACGACTACATGCAAGGCATTTGCTCTAGGTCACACTGAAGTATAAACCAGCCTTTATGTCCACCAATAAGTAAAAGTTACTTCTATGCATTTATAATATAAGAAAATAATGCCACGTCACAGCGAGAGAAAAAAAAAAGTTTAAACAGCAAAATTATCCATTTATACACAAATTTTCTTTTTGGTTTAGCTCTTTTATTAATCAAAGGTTGCCACAGTGGAATAACCCACCAACAAAAGTTGTGGTCACACTGGGCTTTTCCTCCCATAGACTTCCATTCAAAGCAAGCGAATGCGTCAGACCGGAAACACGGGGTCATGCGTCAAGTTTTGCAGGTTGCTGTGGTGCAAAGTTCAAGCTTGGTGAACTCTGACCTGCGAAATCGCTCGCTTTTTAAAAGTCTAATCATCTTGTTTAATCCCGCCCCTTTTCGCAGCGCCGTACAACAGAATTGCTCAAACTCTGGTGTGACGGCAACTTTATCCAGCATATGTTTTACACAGCTGATGCCCTTCCAGCTGCAACCAATCACTGGGAAACACCCATTCATTCTTATTCACTATGGACAATTTAGCTTACCCAATTCAAATACAGCGTATGTATTTGGGCTGGGGGGAAACCGGAGTATTAAAATGTAATTAAGGTCTTTATTCCCCCTTACCCGGCAAAATTATCGGCTGAAAGGCATTTTCAGGACATTTTTATGTAGTATACTTATTTATACTGTGCTGCAACACTGGTAAACTGACGCCTGACGCCTCTGGACTCATTTACTTTTACAGTCAATAAAATGTGGTTGTTTATTGTCTCTGTCTCTTTTAATCTGTATAAATATGAGTTAAATTTAAAGAGTCTTGCAAAATTACTTCATATTATTTAATAAAATAATAAATAATTATTATAAACATTGCGTCCATATGAAATACCTCAAATATCCTTTGAGGAGGAAGCGAAAACACACTTCTGGATTAAAATGCAAATGAATTGTGTAAATCAACCTTACTCTGTCATATAGTGCGATATCTTCATCCTCCTCCACAAGTGGACCGGAGTCAAAAAAGTGCTTGGATCTTTCTTCACGGTTCTTCATACCTGTAAACGGAGGCAAACACGTCAATGATTTGTCATGAATTAATAGTATAATGCCAAACTAAAGTCTAAATAAAACCAAAACCGCATAAATAATGCTGTGTATTTATTTAGATATCGAATTATGTTGTGTTTGTGTGCATTAGACCTACGCTTCAGGTATCCGGACTGGGTGTGTCTGAAGTTGAGCGACAGCTCTTGAAGGCTCTGAGCCAATGAGGAGACCACATTAGTCAACAGCCTGTTCTCTTGCTCTGTACAGTGATAACTCTGAGTCTGCAGTCCCGTCACGGCCCGCTGGCACCTGTGAAACATCTATACACACACACACACACAATCTACAAATGCTGAAAATGCTTTAGTTTAATGTGTGCAATGATTAACTGCAGCAATTTTTCCTTCATGTCCCCTTTAACCTCTTTGGTTATAACAGATGCCGCTGTACTATTATTAATGTGTGTGCGTGTCTGTATATACGTGTTTATGACATATCAGGAAACAAATCTGTATAATGACAGGTATTACAAGAAGGTGGTGCATTATGAGGACTTTGCTAATGTCCTCATTTCTCAAAAATCTTATAAATCACATAGAATGAGTTTTTTTAGAAAGTAAAAGTGTACACAATTTTCCTGTGATGCTGTGTTCACACCAGACGCAAAACGCGCGGATAAATCGCGCTATTCGCACATAAATAGCCGCATGATCATTTGAGTTTACTCGCTTCATACGCGCGTCAAACCACGATTCATTCGCCTGTCAAATTCAGATCAGAACAGACGCGGATTCGCGTGATGGGCAGGGCTTCTGTCTGCCCGAAGACTCTAGCTTCATAGCTAAATGGCTAACATAGATTTTATGAAGAAAATAACAGTGTTTATGCGCTTTATGAAGACTGAAAAACAGCGTCGATACGTTTAGGGTCGTGTCTGAGTCCACTACATTCTTTCAGAGGTGCATCCAGCTCTGTGAGCTCATAAACTCCTCCAGAAACTTAATCTGGATGACGAAGGCTTTCAGCGGTGTTTCTGACTGAGCCAAGCCGAGTTTGATGAACTGTTGTCGGTGAAGGCTGAAGGATTTCCCAAGGAACCACGACAACAGGTTCTACGTCACAATCACGCCCCTACAAGAGCAAGCTTCTGATTGGTTAACACGGCGCGAATGTACGCTGGAGTTAAGATTTTCGAAATCGAGAGATTCACGCGAAACGCTCGTTAAGTGCATCAAACGCGCAAAATGCTCAATTCGCCCTGCGTCATTCGCGCAATTTGCGTGATTCGCGCCGCACCATTCGCGCGTATCACGCCGCAGGATGTCTATTCGCGCGTTTGCATTAAATTAACATGTAAATCACTCACGCTTGACGCGCTTGCCGCGTCTGGTGTGAACGCAGCATAAGAGTTGGGTTTAGAGGTATGGTGGGGTTAGAGCAATAGAAAACACAGTTTGCACATAAAAACAATGGAAACCTATGAAATGTTCCCACAATTGACAAATACAAACCTGTGTGTATTTATGTGACATACTATTATGAGGGATGTAAACAAAAACAATGGTCCCACTGTATTACCTGTTTTACATTTTTAATTCCTATAGCTTTAGAGAATCCAAAAATTGATAAATAAACAATAATAAATAATGTTAAAATGGCTGTTTTGAGTTCATTAAGTTATGATTGAATTGCTTCTTGTTACAGTTATGATATAGTCTGATAACAAGCAGGAAATATTCATGAGCCAATGACATGACCAGATCGAAATGGTCTATAATACCTGTGTGATTTCCTGTGTAGTGATCTCGATGGCATGCTCCTCTTCACTGCTGTCATCCAGCGTGGGCCGGTTCATGTGTTTATCGTGCAGACTGGCCAGCTCCTTCATCTTTTGACGAATACGTGTGATTTCATACTGAATCTGAGGGAACAAGGAATTCACTGTTCACTCTCTACAGAAAAACTAAGGTAACAGGAACACTCCAGTTGAACTAATACATGAATGTTAATGGATATGAATATTAGTGACAGAATGTGGAGGTTTGCATCTGGTTTCAAAATGCATTTTTCATTAATCACATCACAAGTGGTCAGTTCAGATGCATTACGTTTGTTATCTTTTATAGCATGCCACAGACGCTGTCGGCAGAGCTTAAAGAGAGTTCACCCAAAAAGGAAAATGTACTCATTATTTACTCTCCCTCAAGTGGTTTCAAACCTTTCTTTCTTGTTAAACACAAAAGAAGATATTTTGAAGAAAGCTGAAAACCTGTAACCATTGATTTCCATAGTAGGAAAAACAAATATTATGGAAGTCAGTGAATACAGGTTTCCAACATTCTTCAAAATATCTCCCTTTGTTCAATAGAAGAAAGAAACTTATAAAGGTTTGAAACAAGTAAAGGGTTTACAGAATGCAAACATGGATTGACAGGGTTTACAGAATTCTTAAAACCTTTATTAATTTACCTCATCCACTCCCTCCACCCATTTAGGCGGGAGTCTCTTTGTGACACCGATAGCAGCCTCTGGATCCAAACTAATACCCGACACCAGGGCCATACGGTCATCTGCCAACTAAAAGACAGACAGAGGGACAAGCAACAGCAGATTATGCAATGGGTACTGAAACTTGCAGATTATGCTAATAATATGTAAATATTCTCATGAAAAAGTCAATATTAAACTGGCTTGTAGCCAGGAGGGGTTCGGGTGATTCGAAAGACCCACCCCCCTACTGACAAAGTTTAGAACTTGGCTGCTATACAAGCTCATTTGTCCCATTTTGACAGTATGCCTTCATAAATTGTGAAAATAACCAATAGAAGAAGGCTTTATGACAAATCTGACAGAGGAAATGAGCTGGCCAGATTGTTTTTCGAATATAGGCTACAGTTTTTAATTTAAAATAAGTTAACAGATTCCCAATTAGTTTTTTTATGATGGATGATGATGATAAATTTGTATTTTAAAAACAAGCATATTTTCATATTTCTTTGTTCAACATTTTTTTAATTAAAAATTCTAAGCTCACATTATTTGTAAATTATAATGATCTACAATTTAAATGCACATTTGTAAATAAACACTTTGTGGTAAATTAATATGATAAGCAAGCACTTTGACAAGTTTCAACTGGATTTGACACCTGTGATGTAGGGAACACTTTTGTTGCATCAAAAAGTGTGATTATTATAATCACCATCCGACAAGCTGATCCAGCAAAAATGTGTTTAAAATGTCACTAAAATGCAGCATTTGAACCTCAAAATTTAAAAGCAAATGAGGCGAATAACTGCAAAAAGCTCCACTATTTGAGATAAAAAGAACTCCCCCTTTCAATAGACTGGCTACGGGCCTGTAAATCAGTTTTTACTAATATTAGAGGTAGTTTTAATATTAACTAGCTAATATTAAGTTATTAGAACTTTATAGTATTATAATAAATTAATTAAAAGTACTAAAAAGCAAGACAACAAATTTCAGGAAAAGCATCAAATAAAAAATAAATAAAAAAAGAATAATCAAATAATTTGACAAACTTGGATTGCAAGACTGATAATATAAACATTATTAAATACTATATTAAATATTTTATACCAAATATTAATATTGTACCCAGATAAATGGCTGAGAGAGAGGACATCTGTGAAATGCATTTTTTTAAAGGTTAAAAAAAATTGGATTTTGTTTATCATAGTGCCCTTACGATTTGTCACAGGTTTAAGTGCGCACACACATCATTGTAATTTATATAAAATTAAAGAATGGACCTCATTACAGCCAAGGAGAAAACAACATATCTTAGTTTTTATTTTTAAAGCTTTAGTTGGTAAAGTACCACAGTATGTATGCATGTATATGTATATATATATATATAGCACTCAAATACTTAGAATACCAGATCGGCAGATATACTCAGGATGCCATTTTTTCACAGAGTTGGGTCGATCAGCATTCTCTAATGCCAAGTTTAGATTGCATGATTTTAGCCCTGATTTTGACTCGCCAACAAGTTTTGAGAAGTCGCAGAATGGAATCACAGGCAAATCGGTGTTCATTCATGTGAGTGATAATCACTCAGTGTGATCTATCAAAGACGCGACCTGAGAGAATCGCAGATGAGTCCCCGATACCTGTGAGATATTTGGCATGCTCAGTATCTGGAGCTGTCGGTGACTTAAATCATGCCGTGAGAAATGTGTTTTGACTGAAAATAACATTGGCGATCACCTATAGCCAATGAGAGCAGCAATCACTGGTATTAGTTAAAAACATTCAAAAAAACTCATTTTCAGTTTATTTGGACCCAAGAAATGGAGGAAAAACTAGTGGAAATTTGGCAGAAGCATCTGTTTGATGTGTCATTCTGAGCAATATCATAACCGTGTCGAAAAGTAAAAACGTTGAGGAGAAATTGCTAATTCCCTTTAAAGCCAGGTGAGCAAAATAAGTACTATTTCCTACCGCACTAAAGCCTTCTTTTTTCATTATGTAGTTAATAATGAAAGCTATATTACATGACTTTGCATTGTTTCCATGTCACTTCTCGCATGTGTTTGGTTGTGAGAGGTAGTTTGGACGACGTTGTCGGCGATTCTTCCTATTTTCAAATCATGCAGTGTAAACCGATCCATCCTACAGTGTAAACAAAGCACCTACGGAAAGCTGCCTCATAGTCATGCAGTGTGAAAACATCAGCGACACGACGGCTCTTAAAATCATGCAGTCTGAACTCGGCATAAGTATGCTCCATATGTATGGAATGAGATCCAAAATATACTACATTTGAAATCCATACCACCTATCGCTATATTAAAAATATTTTAAAGACTGTCCATTTAGAACAGTGCACAGGTTTTAACAATTGATTATGGTTTAAATTATTTTTGTGTGTGTCTATGTATTTTTTGTCCTATGCTGGCTGTCTTGACCAGGACTCCCTGACAGAAAAGATACTGTATCTCAATAGGACATTCCTGGGTAAATAAATAAATAAATACGCTAAAATAATAACTATAACCAAATCGTTAAAAAATACACAATAAGGACATAAAGTGAAAGAAATAATCAAAATCTAAACGGATCCCTTTCTGAGCCCCGCCTTAAATTACTTAGAGTACTTATTGACCAATCCCACCTAATAACAGTTGTCAGCAAACCAATTATATATTTTTTTATTCTAATGATGGCACATTAAACAAAAAAAAATTTGTACGAAAAATATGACTAAATGCTAACACCTGTATACTGTTTATTCAGTATTAGTGACTGTAATAAAAGCATACCGAACCGTACTCAGTAAAAATAGGCCAAAAGAGTTTTCTAAAAAAAATCTAATTATTTCAAATGGGGCGGGGCTTAGAAAAGATGTGTCTCAATGTTAAATGCAAGGTTACCTCATCAAACTCCTAATGTGATTGGAAGAGCCAAGTGAAATCCCATCCAACCAGAGGAGAAACAGAGGAGGAGAGGGACATGAGGAGTGAGAGAAGAGTTGAGCCCAAGACAAAAAGCAGTGATCAGCATCAAAAAGACAGAACTGGACAAACCAGAAACAGAAACCAGTAAATTGCTAATTGTTACTTAATTACAGATTACTTCATTTATATTTAATACAAATAATAAAAATGCAAAGATGCATATGCATTAAAATACAGTATTTTTCGTGATTTGTCCACTCCAGCTCAATAATTCCTAGAACATCTCAACTGTGCTACTGATTCATCAATTCCCTATTAAGATATTTGAACTACTGAAAAACAAGGCAGTTTCTGATATTAATGAATTCATCAAATGCAAAGCAAGATCAAGCTGAAAGATAATCATAATCATATTTTCAACATCAACGACTTGTGAAATGTACAGCAGAAAATTCAGTCAGGATTTTGCAAAGGAGTGCAAGAAGTGCTCAGACAGAGACCATGAGAAGAGCAAACACATAAGAATCAACATGCAAGCAGATGGTGAGGAATGAAGCCACTGCACCAGACAAAACACAAGCAGGCATGATGTATGATTGCAGTGACGTCCGTGCTAGTAACTTTATCACTCTTCAAGATTGCGTTGAAAGAAGAACAAAATATGTCTGTCAGTACCCAATTACTACAGTATAGAGATATTTAAAAAAAAAAAAAAAAATATCCATATAGCAGACCGCCCACCAGCATCAGAGAGAAAGAAAAATGTGATGCATAGCTTATCTGTAGGAAAGATCTGTAAAGAATAGGGAGACAAAACACTGCTTTCTTCTGGAGTCTCTTTTTAAGAAGTAGACTCTAGTATATAGTGCATCAAAGCCATCATCGCTTCTTTCCATGTCAACTTCTGGCATTAAATTTAGCAATAAGAAATGCACCGCTACTATAGTGTTAAAAAAAAAAAGGGAATTATTTTACTAAAAAACACCTAAGTCAAGTAAAAATGTAGGAATAAAATTAATACATTTTACTTTCTATGACATTCGGCAACATTTGTTATAACAAACGTAAACAAATCTAAATTTTACAGTGACTGTATATTCGATGAAAGTAGGGCTGCACAATATATCGTTTCAGCATCGATGTGGCAATGTGTGCATCCGCAATAGTCACATCTCAGGATCTTCAATGTTGAGTTGAAATAATAGTTGATTATAATTAATGCAGTGTTGAATTATAATGGACTCTTTAAAGAGATAGTTCACCCAAAAATGTACCTTTAATCACTATTTTCAAAAGTTTATGTGTTTCTTTTTTATGTTGAACACGAAAAGAAAATATTTTAATAACTAGGGTTATTATTAGGTGATATTATTAATTAATCTTACGATACTATACCAGCTGAAGTGTCACGATACCAAGTAGCATTGCGATACTGTAATTAATAACTCAAAATAAATAGAAATTGTCAGAAATACTATATATTATGTTATAATAGGCCTACTTGAATGTAATTCATAATTCCCTTAAGGCCAAAAAGTATTATTTGCACCTCAAGTTTGTTCATTCTTTTTGTGTATTTTGTAGATAACTGGCCAACAAAAACACATTAAAATAAAGATACAAATTATACCAAATTAAATCTGTTACAAAAGAGCATTTTTCCAACAAAATTAGGCTATATGACGTGGTCAAAAATAGTTTCAATGTTTCCTGTTGCTATTTTGGGTTTTTCATCTTTGTTTTTAGTCCTCTCAGGAAACAACTCAAAGTATTTCAAAATTTCATTTTGTGAGTCGTTCTTTTAAAGAGATTGTCGTGGTAGCTAATCATATTAATAGGAACAGAAATGAACCGATTTAAATGTTTATTCAAACTGAAGCGTTAGGAAACGTGCAACAGGCTACCATAAAAGGCACATTTTCGACACAGTTTGGCAATCTTAAAGGGCTCTACAGACTATTAAAATAAATGGTTTATTGTTGCACAAACGTGCAAGCGTTTTATTGACTTTTTCACATGCAACGTTGTCTATTGTAGATAAACCATAAATGACGATACTACCGTTTACAAACTACAGTGGCACAGACAGTATTTTGGAGACATAGTATAGCGATAATACCATAGTAAACCGTGCAACTCAATAAATAACTCTTACACGTTTGAAACAAGTAAAGGGTAAGTAATGAGTACTTTTTCATTTTTGGGTGAACTATGCCTTTAAAGCCTCTGACTGTGTAAACTTTTTAACATTTCAGAGTTTAAAACATCCAGCCACAAGAAAAGTTAGTGTTTGTAAATTTATTAACGATTACATTATATAGAATAAAGACTATGCAATGTTGACTGTTCAATTATCTGTACCTGAATACTGTTAAGACTCTCCAGAAAACTAGAATTCACTTATATATTTGCTGTATTTTGATTACCTAAGCTTGTAAGTTATTTGTTACACATTATTCGAGATCCAATCACCCCAATTAAACTAAAATGAGGAATTCTTTCCAAATAAAACTGTATTCACGTAACAAAATACAAAATATCGCAATGTTAGATTTTCCCAATATCGTGCTACTGTGATTGAAAGCATGTGAAAAGTTCATGTGTATGCTTTAGATCACAAAGAAAAACTATTTTAACTCACGATGACTCACTGCTGTTGAAAAGTTAAGGAACTTATGAAAATGTATTTATTCTTGCGTTGAGCAAGGATGGATTAAACTAAAGCAATTCTAACCATGGAATAAATCAATTTTTCAAAATGCTATCAACATTAAACAGTAGCTTAAACTGAATTTGAGTACACCATTCAGTTCTGTATTTTCTAACAATGGTCATTAATGATTAATATTTTAATTCAATTTTAAAAAGTAAACATACATCATCATACAATAATATGTACTAGATAAATCAGTTAAAGAGCGTCTCCACATTCTTATTTAGCTCCAGACAAACATACATGCGCCTTCATACACGAACATATAAGCTGTATACTTAAGGAGTGGGCGTCATATTTTAAAAGACGAACCAATGATCTAAACTAGCACGACCATCACCTTTTAGTCAAGTCAAAGGCATTCTCGTGTGCTGAGGTAAATCAAAATGCGTTGGTTTGACGGTCAGCTAGCAGGTTCACACACACCTTCCAGCTCCTCTCACAGCAAACAAAACAAGTTGAGGTTTGTTGGACAACTGACAGCGCCGGTTGACATCAACAAACATCACTAGCTAGGGTTGTTTTCTAAGAACAACTAGCTAGAGTTGTTTTCTCTGAATCACACGTACAACCACACACGCCAAAACAATCAATTCAGACAATGAACGTTAGACTCACCGCAGCATTGCTACGTGTATTCAGAGTACGACGGGGGTCGTATGTACTCACTTGCTCAGCCAAAATCTGCCGGTTTTGGATTGCATTGTTCCGCATTAATAAGAAGGCATCGGTCAGTCGCCGAGTTGCCATGGCTATGCAATAAAAGGGGAGCGAAAAGTGAAATAACTGCGGGCTGCCTCGATGGCTGTCTCTAGATTAGTTACTCAGCTCGTCGCCAAGGCAGCTGCGGCTACTGAACTAGCGGGCTAGCCTGCAAACCGAGCAGCAGGCTCGCCCACTGACCCAGCGCCTCCGAGCTCGAGAGAGTTCGGCTCTTTTTTAGACCAACGCAGTCCCGAGTCTGTATCCCGTGAAGTACCAAAACATTACAAGGCCGAAACCCCGAGTTTTCCGCTCGGTTTGGGGAGCAAATGGATCATGTCTGTGACTTCCGTGACGTGGAATACGTAACGTGACCTCACGCCGAAACTTCCGCTTTGGACAATGAATATGCAAAAATCGAATTCAGTATTAAAATACTTAACCTTTTCATATTTGCAGCTTAATGAACCTTTTAGTTTTATTAGACGACAGCAGTTTTGTAATATTTAAGAATTAATTACATTCGAATTTTATTTTATTATTTAAAAAAGCAACAACATGCAAAAAAAAAGCCATCAGCCTTTAATTTTGTCATAGGATAATGTATTAGATTAGATAGTATGTTAGATTAACAACACAGACTGATTTTATAGCACCAGGTTAAACTTTCTGACTCCTTTATGGTAATCAAATACATTAAAAATAAATACAGGCCACAACTGAACATTGAGGATGATCTTCAACATTAAACCATTAGACTTGTGCTGGTGTCAACCAGGCTCATTGAGGTGAGATTAATGTTAAATTAAACAAATGAATCAATGATTATTAAATTATAGCCTATGATTGTTAAGACTGTTGCACTTTTTATGTTGGCAATATGCTCATGTTACTATAGGCCTGTTTTTGTGTGTGCAACATTTGTATATTTATAACCACCTCTGAGAAATATTGGGGTCGCGAGTCACAGGCATTGTTATTTTGGGGCTCGGGGGCTGAAAAGTTTGGTAACACCAATTAAAACATCCTTAGCATGTAGTAAAAATTTAATTCACAAGTGTTTTTTAAAAAAAAGACTTAAAAAGTCATACATTTGACATAGTGACTGACACCTGCAGAAACCATGGTTGTGATGTTCCATTCCACTGGATTTTTATAAATATCTGTTTTAAAATACATGACTCTCTTCTTTTTTGTACTATTATGGTTACATCAAAATGAGTAGACTAAAAAGTAATAATTATTAAGCCAAAAAATGTAAAACCCAATTATGTATACACTATTTTTTATAAAAGAACATGTGCAAATAAAAATACAAATTTATGTCTTCGCAGACTTTTCGTCTTTGCATGAACTTTGAAATTTACAAAACAGTAAGTGCATTTCTCAAAACAGCACATACAAATGGCAAAACAGCATGGATTACCCGCAAAAGCCAGTCTCTTGCTTAAAATCTTTAGTTCATCTCTCAATATGTCAGTGCCGTCAGAATGACAAGTCCTTGTGTACAGATAAGACAAATGACTTACTCGTGTTGTCAATATAACTGTACTCTGTAGGGATGTTCTGATATGGCTAATTTAGTTAATTTTATTGCGATTTGTACTGTGATTTGTTGCCAAATCATGTCATTGTGATACAGAAAGGAAAAGACAGCACTGCATAGAACAAAGAAAAAAAATTAAAGTAGAAATGTGAACATAGGACACAATCTCTTTTCAGATGCACCTCACCTTTATTAGAAAAAGTCCAGATTGACCTGGGAGTAATTTACCAATTTTAGATTTAGAAAAAAAGTCTAATGGAAATGTATAGAAAAATGCATTATGATTAAATATTATGACAACTTGTTCAACTTCTTCATATATATAACTTGCCATTAACTTTTTTCTCACCACCCCACTGGTCATTTTCACAAGACAAAATTCTGTTGTTGGAAACTGTATTTTATATACTTAAATTTGACTTTTGCATGCTAAAAGAACCTGAGTAAGAGACATTTTACTTGATATAGGTAGCCTAAACCTGCTGTAGTCAACCTAAAACCTACAGTAGTTTGACATCAAACCAAAACCAAACCCATTATTGTCTTAGGACATTTTTATTAGGCAGATTCTTGAATAACTGTAAGTTCATGACATGTTAAATATATAGTATATTCTGCTGGTTTTAAACATATACAGAATAATAATACATACAGTCATGTAACAACCATAACATTACCATTATGTCTTACAGGGGCGGACTGGGACTAAAAATCAGCCCTGGCACTGTAGCCACACCAGCCCACATTACCACACTGACACAGCCCCATCCACGGACACGCACATTCACTACTTACAAAGATGTGTACAGGTGTACAGATGGTCAAATAATATAAGCAGTACCATAGATATTTAAACATTTAATGTATGTGACTGGAACAAAAATAACACATTTATAACAAATTTATATATGTTCATTTCATTCATTCATTTTCTTTTCGGCTTAGTCCCTTTATTAATCTGGGATCACCACAGCAGGATGAACCGCCAACTTATCCAGCATATGTGTTGCGCAGCGGATACCCAATTCACCTATAGCACGTGTTTGGACTAGTGAGGAAAACCGGGAGGAAACCCACGCAAACATGCAAACTCCACACAGAAACACCAACTGACCCAGCCGAGGCTTGAACCATCGACCGTCTTGCTGGAAGGCGACAGTGCTACCCACTGCGCTGCCCCCTTTCGAGACTATTTCAGTTTATTTTATGCATTTGGCAGCGTCTGATATTAGAGCAATTTTTTGCTTTCTCTGAGCTTTTCGGCACCGCCTATCCTTTTTTACGTTCCATCTCTGACAATTAGCTTGTGTTGCACTTATTGTTTGTTTGACATTCTTGCCAGATTTTGATTACGTCCATGTAACCTCTGATTGGGTCAGCCCCTCTCGAAACGAGCTGGCCATTGCTGATTGGTTGCTGATTGCTGATTGGCCATTGCTTAACATTTATTATTATTATTATCATCATCATCATAATATTCACATCTTGCAAGAGATAAAAGCTGCCTGCATGTAAAAACAATACATATAAAAATAAAAAATAGCATAACAGCCTAAATTTGAAAAATGGTTCAGCCCTTCTGGCATTTGCCAGAATATCCAGATGGCCAGTCCGCCCCTGATGTCTTAGGACATCTTTGATTAACTTTTTATTACCTACACCAAATGTTGACTAATGAAGGTACATTTATAACAACTATTAATTTGTTAGACTACTTTACTGTCAAACCATGTTGCATACAAATGCATTCAACAGACTTACATGACAGTGTATTGCTGTGGAGGACAAATAAAACACGAGACAGGTGTTTAGAAAGAGTATAGTTTATTTTGTTTGACCAGCAAACTTATCTAAACAAGATAAACTTTCAGAAAACAGCACGGAAACATTATAATGTGCCCGCTCATGAATATAACGTGCAGTTGTCTTCAATAGTCCTTCTTAGCTCTACAGCTCTGCTGACAAACAAAGCAAAGCATTACAACAGCCAGACAGAGTTAAAACATTACAGTTACCATGGTTTCTATTTTAAACTATAGTAAACTAATGTTTGAAACTATAGTTCAAAATAGACAATAGCCTCTTTCACACATACAGACCTTTCCGGAAAATTGCCGGCAATTTTCCGGAAAGGTTGTATGTGTGAACAGGTCCTTTTTGAAAATACCGGTAAATTCGTTCTGGCTATTTTCCGGAAAGAGAAGTAGTAACATTACCGGCAATTTGCCGGAATGCTGCGCTGTGTGAACGCAGAAGGAAGATTCCCGTAATAAGCGCGTGCACGTCTAGAACGTGCTGACGTGAGACGTCTGCTTTAGCCAATCACAACAGTCAGACGCATTTACGTCCGCTCGGTTTGTGAGGATAAAAGCCTTTGAATATTTTTCCAGACACATTTAGCTGCTAGAAGTTAGTCAGATCACGTTTATATGTTCTTCATAATGCCAACTGTGTAAATAATCATCGATGAGATGCTTATGATAAGCCGTTGTTTGTTTACGTTCGTGTGCCTGTGAAACAGCCTGTGAGCGCCAGCACACGTACATATTATGAACATCTCGACATGCGAAAGTGATCCTGAGAAAGTTGTTCACAATATTGATCATCCACAGAGTTTGTAATTTAGTCAAATGTTTACAAATACAAGCGCAGCCGTTTAAAGCTCATTTGTGGTGAATGATGTCAGAATTTACCGGTATTTTGGAATGGATGTGTGAATGCTCTTTTCCGGAAAATTTCCGTAACGTCCTCGCCTATGTGAACAGCGCTTTTTTCAATATACCGGTAAAGTCTTTCCGGAAATTTTCCGGATATTTACCGGTATCACTGTGTGAAAGGGGCTAATGAGTGGGCCTCACTGCTCCCACCCACCACCATAACCCTCGCAGCGGGGTCCCACTACCGGCCTCCCGTGTTTCCCTGAGCGTCCTCACGGCTTGTATTGATCCCTGCCTAGGGTTCACAAGCCGCCTCGCTCCAGGGAACGCACAAGCTAACCGGGCGCCAGTCTGTGCCAGTGTTCACTGAAATGTTGCTCGGCGGCACATTTCGAGCATCAAACACATAATATTCCTCGCGATATTGCGTTTAAGTACGCAAACCACAAGGAACTACAGCACAGACGGGCCCGAGTGAAGCTGCACGAAGCGGACTTCGTGAGATTGGCGTGGCTCCACTCGTATTGTCAGGTATCGAACTCACCTTAGTCAAGTACAAACAGCGACACCGAGCGAACTGACAACACTGAGAGAGAACCGACGAGCTTTGTAGGAATGCAGATGCAAATGTTTACATGGCGACGTCACTGCTGTTGTCATGGTAAGCGCTGTAGAAAGCATACGGGCTTTCGTCACCGTTCAGTAGTAATCAGCTGTGGACAAAAACATATTAAAAAATATTAAATATATTTTTACATTTTTGGTGCTGTGTAATATTCTGGGATGCAGTAGATTATGGAGACCAATGAATACAATTAAAGACAGATGCGGGGCATTAGAACAGAAAGTGAGCCCGGCTAGGACACGCTTTATTATTGTTTTATAATAATAATAATAATAATAATAATAATAATAATATATATATATATATATATATATATATATATATATATATATATATATATATATATATATATATAATTATTATTGTTATTTTATTATTGAAATGGCCAAATTGTAAAGGAAGACAGTTAAATGCGTTGGCCAATTTGTTTTCTGTCTAATAAATAATCGTGGGCTAAAGTTTTTTTTTACTTTAAAACTTTAATAGATTACTATTTTGTCCTATTGATATGCAATAAGTTTATATTTTAAAAATTAGTCTTGTTTAATTT